GCAAGGGGCGATGATACTAAAAGTCTCAAAGGCAGCGTGCTCGACTGGATTACCCCGAAGGGACAGAATCTTGTCCCACCTCTTGCTCGCAATGTGAAAGTCGATCGCGGTTTTCATCATGAACGGACAGGCGCATTACTTTGTCCTGCTGGCCTCGACTGGTCTAACTCTGAGTGCGTGTCATATATTTCTTTGACTTAAATACTGATGAAATGCAGAATGAAAGCTAAGCTACAAAGCGGTGAGATCATCATGACTGGAGACCAGTGGCCGTTATTCTTGTATGCCGACTACCATTACGATCCTGAGGATCCATGGAATGGTCTATTTCGGAGTGCCTTGCTTGTTTGTGTATGATATAAGTCATTTCCAAAAAAATTTGCACTTAACTAGACTCACAGGCATATAGACACGTCTTTACGTCCCCCAGTTCTGTGGACAAAGAACCGAAGGCAACTCGTTCAGGTAATGCTCGCATTCACGGGATGACTCGAGTCACGCTGCCCTCCATCGCCTATATTGCAACGCAGGTTTGTCTAGTACACTTCGCATATCTACATCTCTAACAAACAGTGGATATTCATTCCAGATCCGATTTGCCCTCACCTCATCGCCCGTGTTTTCGTGTACAGACACGGTCACCGACTCTGAAAGGTTTTACAACTCAATTTTGGAAATCTTCGAAGACCCGGATGAGAAACAAGAGGTGGACGACCTAACTGTGTGGTGGAACAGGTGATTGGCAACTTGTTCTGTTCTATTGATTCTCACATTTTCTAGGCAAATTTTCCCGTCATATTCGACTGCTCAACATCCCCTCGTCAAGAACAGTGCGCTGGCAAGAATTCGGGAGAAGCGAGCGCAGATGAAAGAAGTTTTTGTACCGGATGGTGGTGGTGTGTAGCATACTGTCGGCGCACGACAATAGATTGTACTGTACTGAATGTTCGTGTACGGGTTGCTTATGACATCGAGATTATACCCAGCCTTCAGGCTGAAAGTGAATCATACATGTTCATCATTTTTGTATTTTTTCACCAACGCATGACAATCGTGGTATTCATGATGTAATAGTAACATCTTGGTCAACTATGTCGTCTGTCTGTCACTATAGATTCAGTACATGTCATCCTGAGACCCTTGCTCAAAATTTGCCAGTGATCCTGTTTTCGATCACAAGTACAACTCATGTGTTTGTGGCCGGTATTTGTAAGAATGAGACCAATTGGACATAGCTATGTGATACATGTCTTTTTGACATGGTTCATAGGATACATAAAACCAGGCATCCATTATATACTTAGCTACTACAGCCAATGAAGGATCACAATTGTGAAGGCTTGACTTTTTTGCCATTCAGACGCTCTCCTGCAGTACCTATCACCATGGTGACACTTGTGAATTCTGTCGAGGCAAGCGTCCATTATAATCGAAGGGAGCACGGTCCATGAATGTGTCATAAATACGATGCTAGATCTTACATCAACAATCTTTGTTCCTTTGACAAGCGAAGCTATGAAGTCTCATCCTTGCATATTTGACAAGTCCTGCCATGTCTATCCTACAATATAAAGCTTGACAATTTGATGTATCATTATTAGACTTATTATAGCAGTTTTACATATTATAATTCTTTATATGCCAATATCATTTTATCATTGAATATCTGATGACGTACACAACGAGAATCGAAATCTTCTGCATCGACTCTTGCTTGTTGCTTTCGCGAAATTGCGTGTCAAACCTTACTCCGGGTGTCCTGACCTCGGACGGCTTGCCAAAGAAAGGCCGACCTCGACCTGGCAAGCCCAGCAGTACTAGCAGCCGCGTTGTCACCGGTAATGGTACGGAGCGTGCGGCAGACCCGCTGCAGCAACGCAAACGTGTTCAAATTTGCACCGCGCCCGCCTGGGGAGTCAGGGCATCGTGGGCGAGTGGGCATATTTTGCGAATGGCACGTACGCACGCCGAGCCATGAAACAAAAAGGTCAGTCAGGCATCTTGTCTTCGTTGATTTGTCACGTCAATAAACTTTCTAGATGACTTCAGCTGGTCAGTGGACGCTCTATGGTGATATCTTACCTATCATCATCCCAAATTCGCAGGCGGTGACTCGCGGCAGTACACATTGCACCTGCTCAGTCTCGCTAGTGGCTTCTCCTCTCCGAGACGTCGACCGAATAATTGTTTGCATCGCCAAACATCCCTTTGCCTCTGTCGACTCCGGAGCAGCTTGTGCGGTTTGCACAGATTGTGGACACAGCGCTCGTCAAGTCTTAGTATCTTGTGACTCAACCGGCCATCCTCGGTGCACTTTGTCAATTGGCCAATTGGTGTGAGGTATCAGAGGAGCTTCGGGCACGAGAGGTGCGTCAAACCGTACACAACTCAAACGTAGCATTTACCAATTGTCTCAGACATTCGCAGAGCTGATACATCTCTACAATGGAAAACAGATGCATGCTAAGGCTCATAATCTTCTGCACCAGTGAGCATTGATGTCTTTTACTTGATTATGCTTGCAAACCAATGACCTTGCCCAGGGTCAAACGAGAAGGAAGCGGACATGAGAGACAATGCTCGATCTATCATATCCTACCTGCCTTACCTGCCAAAACTTGGTCCCAAGTACGTCGACGCCGAGTATTTGAGTCTTCCCGCTGGATCTTGGAAACGACTGTGATACGGCTTTCGAGGTGACACTTGTCTGTATAATTTGTCTAGTTCCTTGCTGACGATCGTTTGTCTTACCCAAGATATCTACATCTGACGACATTAAACTCAAGTAACAGATTACCTCGAGAAGATTGACCCCACCATGTCTACTTGTTATATCGAGTATCTAATCGATGAGAAAGGCGGAGAGAGTCCCGTATTCCATGATTGGCTGGCAGAGCTCTATCTGAACATGACGCTGAGTGCTCGCAAATGAGGAGACAAGGGTTAATCGTGATTTTTGCCGGTCGATAGCTGTTCTCACCAAATTTCCGTTAGCCAATGGGTCGGACGTTTACTCGAAGCTCCTTCGTTTCATTGATCGCTTGCATGGTTTACTGTTGAAGAGCCAGTTCCAGACTGATACTCGCATGAATATTGAGCTTATACCCTGCAGATCTTTACCAAGCGCGAGCTGTGTTGTCGGGCTGTGTGGTAAGGCATGACCATGCTCTTTAGCTCCATGTTTACAAGTTAGGCCGAAGAGTATGTCTATTCTCTGCTATATTCTCGATCCCGATCCCTCGGTGACGCTGTCATAGGTACTGCAGGCGGATATATAATTCAAAATAAGTCACACTCTTCTCGAGCTCTACCTCCGCCCCACCGGTGAAACAGCACCGAACTCGTTGCGCCCCGCCCTAGACTTGATCAGTCGACACTGTCCTCGCTTAGACTCCCTTGAAACTCTTCAACTTCTCCCTCCCCTTGTCACCGCTCTCGACGTACGCCCATTCCTTCAAGAAGCTTTAATATGAGCACTGATTTTCGACAGCCACCTCATCCACGATATTCACAAAGCGCGGAATGAACAAATCAGTCTTCTTTCCGCATGGATGTTGTCTGATGACTTGTGCAAAGCTGCTCCTAATGCCATAAGTGTTTGGGTAGTAGTGTTGTCGCAGTTCATGCTCCTAGGTAAATCTGTTGTTCACCTCTAGTGTCATTTTCTGATGTCCCCATTTTTCAGGGGAGAGGTGACTCGTTATCAGTGCCATGATGCTTTTTCTCGGAGGCTCGTTGATCCTGCGAAGAGATTACGATTATGATTTGTTGCTCTACGCAGCATTTTGGTTCGTCAGCTTTTATCGTCGCTGAGGGCTTGGTAGTGGTCAGGCCCCACTCGTAGTCAACTGCTGTGTACATCTAAATGTATGTATGTCTTGTCACCGGTAGGGGTATCAGTGATGCCCAACCCTATGTTGCTCAGTTTCAAACCACATGAATTGTGCAAATCTTCGAGCCGAATTTGGGAGATGCTGATGATCAGCTCGGAAAGCTCGTAGTATCGCCTCTTTATCATACTACGGAATATGGAGGACAGATGGAACATGAACAGGGTATATTTAATTCACGGTATCATATTATGAAATATCTCCAGCTCATCCTCAAATCCACCATTCATGAGGCGCAACAACGCACGCACATGCTGCTGGATCTTCGACGCACAGAACACGTCATCGACGCTGACCATGACAGTGTGGAAGAGTATGTCGCGCCATAGCCTGAGCTCGTGCGTGTCGAGGTGGGTCCACCATGCGCAAGAGGATCGTCCATGCGTCATGACGAGCGAGCGAGAAGCCCAAGACGGGTCGAGTTCGCCTCTGCTCCATAATAGTCACGAGTGTTCATTTCAATTTTCTAGTAAATGAAACCAGCAATCTAGATGTACTCGACGTGTGGATTAACTGAACGCCCTGAAGGGTACCATTGGGAATGACACGACTCAGTGAATAAAACGACCTTGATAGCTAAAATAGGGCGCAAATTAAGGCTTTCTGGCCTGTGTTCCATGTCCCCTCAAAGTTTGAGTGTGAGTACTAGTATCGTCTTCCGCATCATAAAGCATGATCACGAAGTATTCTTTCCTCTATAAGGTCTTAGATGACGATGTGATCCCCCTATTGATGAACGCCCGCATCGAGGGCTTTGACTGGTAAAACAATAATGCGCAACACCAGGTATGAGATTGATCAGGCATAAGGCTCTGGGTCTAGTGATGAGGCTCGGGATGACTCCGTGACCCAGCGCCGGACTCGTGTGCGCAAGTCGACCCTCTTCTGTCGTTTTTCAAGGTGAAAGACTGCGTCATCGGTAAGAGCGGCTCCGCGTAAACTGGAAGACAATTTGCGTTTGCGAGCGCCCGGTGGTGGAGGCTTATCTCTTGCTTGATTACTGGGTAGATCAGACTTCGGCGTACCATCATGCGCAGAGCGTGCTTGCGACCGTGTGGTACGTTTGCTCCCTCGAGAAAGATTCTCTATGTCCTCGTCATCGCGGTCCCTCTTCCTCTTACCCCTCTTTTCTACCTCCCAAACCTTCGCATCTTTCTTCGCATCCTCGAAAAGGGCCCATGTATTACACAAAAGTGTAAGTCGTTCTTCAAGTTCCTTCCGAAACTCACTCGTCTGTTGCGAACAATACTCGCGGACGATCTGATTGATGTGATTCCTTGTGCACTTAGGGCCTGCGTTTATGATGGCAAAGGGAGGTGCAATATGACACTCAAGCAATGGGAGGCCTTGGTAAGGATAAGAGTGATCTTCCCAAACTCCACCACCAATTTCGCATGAGATGCGTGGGCATCCTGTGCCAGGCAATGGTATGAACGTGTACGGTGTTTTATTGTTGAGATTCCACTGCGGAAAAGTAAATATTGTTGCAGGCATGCGATACCACAGAACAAGTGCCTACCTCTAACCAGAAATGTTTCGTGCCTTTACTAGACTGGGAGTTTGCCCTTAATGCAACAGCGTCTTTCACGTAGTCATGGACTTTCCTCAGTGTGCCTGTATCCGGCAGGAGAAACCAGTGACCAGCATCAAATATACTATGCAAGTGGGGTGACACTGCAGATTAATGTCAGCGTCAACAGCGCACGCAAGAAATGTGTCATACGATAGAACATATTTCGTCTGCTGTCAACATGGAATGATCTCAAATCTAAGCCAAGACAATATTCATAGAGTGTCAACTAAAGAAATTATTAACATTGAGCATTTCATAGGTAATGAAATTACCCACAAGATCAGACTTGCTCGCACGTTGAACGGCATGGGCTACAGTCACCAGGTAGGCCGCTGACGACGTTACGAGACAGTGACGGGCGCCATAGTTGTGGTCATATAACTTCTCGAGTGCCTTACGAGTTTTTGAAGAGAGGCCTGCAGAAGCTGAGCGATGTGTAGGGGTGGTGAAGATGATAGACGCGGATTCCCGGGTAGACACACGAGTGGGGGTATACTCGTCGTGGCTACTTTCTTGGAGACCTGGGCTTGGAGTTGAGCGATCATTAATCTCATATGTAGAAGAATTGGCATAGGATGATTCTGGGTCCCGACCACTGGCTAAAGAGTATGTGCCGATAGACATCTTTAGTTTGATTGAGCATGCATGCACGTGGGAACTTTTACTTTGGGATATGCTCGTAATGCAAGACTCTATATCAGTTACTGTTAACCGAGTATTGGCAGGTATTAGCATTACAGGAACGAACCTGTAAGCACCTGTCGACACCTAAAACCATCCCTAACTCATACCAACTTGCGCATGCAGCCTTTTCTCCGCCTCAGCTCCTCCGATCACCATCGTCTATCTATCCTTGCGCCATTCCTCCTGGCGAATGCGCATCTAAGTCTCCAATGAACTGCCATCATCTACCGAGATTCTTCCAAAGCAAAGTCAAAAACGGAAGTCAGCCCTCTATCAACCCTTTGGATTTATGGTTCCAACACTATCAACCGACATCAGCGACAAGAGAGTATAATATTAATAGTACTGAGAACTGCTGCCTGAGGTGGGAGCAGCTTCGTGACCGTTACCAAAAAACCGTCATCCGCGTTGCAGAACACGTTCCGGAAGTGGTTGAATTCGTTCGGGGTATCATCAAGAATGGTTCAACTGGCTACGAATTCGAAGGCAGTGTCTACTTTGATACAGGCGCATATCCTTCATCTCAACGACGAGGTTACGCTCAGTTGGAGCCCTGGAATAAAGGAAACAGGGAATTGACTAAAGGCGGAGGTATGTTGACACAATCGCAACAGGAGATTTTATTGATACAACCGTGAAGACGGCAGAGACCCGAGTCACATCTTTGGATATCTTGTTAATGCGACATTGGAGGACATCGCAGTTCGCTATAACGGCACGGCACGCGCGCAACTCGCTCGGATATTTTATTCAGTTCATGCATTTACCTGCAGATCCCACCACCTCGCAGTGCCAGCTATGAGAGCTCGCCTCCACCGCTTGTGACACAGATGCCAGCCCCGCCTGCAGAAGTCGCGTATGAGACCTCCCGTCTACGTCCTTTACGTTGCTCGGGCGTCGACTCAAGTGCCTTGCCCTCTCCGAGACACGCCACATCTCCGCAGACTATGCTCGACATGAACTCCCTTCATGTATTACCCACTCTTAGCTCTGCCTCAGTTTCTTCCAGTTCTGCAGATGAGAAATCACCCAGGATGAGCATCTCATCCGTTGAGTCCGTTTCTTCGGTCATGATGCTGATTAGCTCCGCCTCAGGTATGCGTAGTCTATATTTGTATCGCTAGCTGTTTATTCACGGAATATCACAGACCCATTCTCTGGAGCTATTATGCAGGCAAAGTAAAGCACAAAAAAAAACGCGGGGCTGCCAGGCTTACTTCTGGTCTTCGACTCCTTCCTCTCCTTTCCCTAGTCCAACTACTCTTACGTTCGGCTCTGGATCATTCGCACATAGCACTCAGATCGCAAGCGCCGTTGTCATTAGTCGCTTAAAGACTAGTTACACCACCATCGAGTACCGTTACCGCACAAATCTGAATGCATGCGTCCAGAGTCTCAATGCACCTACAAAGCATTCCTCAAGAGCAAGGTCCATTGTCAGATGCGCATCCCCAAAGCGGCTCCCATGATGAACGCGAAGCTCTCATCGACGTACTCGGATTGAGTGCCGATGCACTTGGAGCAGTCCGAAGCGTTTTCGTCAGGTGAACAAGGGTTCCAACTCTGAACTTGAGCCAGGGCGTGGGTTCGCCTGGCCGAGTTTGTCGCTCTTCACTCCGCCTCAATGTACTTATTGACAATCATCCCATGTACATAGTGGCGTGCTGGATGGTTATACCGCGATGAGCCAAAAAATAATCTATTAGTGGTTATTCTTTCATCCCATATCACTGAACTCAGGTTCAGACGCCTTACGTTCTTCACCTCTCACCAGTTTCCAGCTTTCCACCACTGCCCACGCCGGGCCACAGGACTTCGTTCGCCTCCTTCTGCTGGCGGGAAATAGTCGAAGGAGGACTTTGATGACTTGCCGGTGTCGTTTCTTCTACCTGATGGGTACGTCGCGCGCATTATATTGATATGATGGGTGTGATCTTGAAACGTGAGCAGATAAATGACAGCGCATATATCGTCGTCGTTCGAAATGCACTGCGTACGCGATTATAGACGATTCCGGCGAATGTTTAACACGCGAGCGTTGTGCATTAGGAGTTGAGAGTCTCTGCGGTGCGGCTACCCCACGCCGTACCTGTACCCACCAAAGCTGCATCAGCGCGATGCCGCTCATAAATTTCTGTGCTGATCGCTGTGGTTTGCAGCCATGCGATTGGTGCGCCGAAGCGGATTAATACTTATGTCATATATGAAGGTGAGGCTTGTAAGTTTCAGTAGACGTAAATAAAGGCATGCATCTCAGCCCCAACGATACGTAAATGCCAGGTTTGCTTCCAAACCTGAAGACGACACGACACCACTTCGTTTTCTTCCCAAACAATCTACCTGCGAAGATGGCGGAGAGCAACGGTCATTGTAGCATTTGCTGCATAGATGTTAGCAATTTGGAATCTCATCGTGTGCAATTACATTCGGCGTACTGCCGGTTCAAGTTCTTCGAGCATCCCAACGTACCTGCTGTTGTTGCCCGCCGGGACGATGGCACTTTCCAATGCCCAGCGTGTCTTCAAGCTTTTGCGACTTATGCAAAGATTTACAATCATGGGACGAGAACGAAGACTCTAAACCACATGGTTTTGGTGACCAAGTGGGTCAAAACACGTGTGGGTACATGCCAGCAGTTTGGGGTGTAGGCGATCTAACTTTCGGACGCAGGCAATTAAACAAGAGAGTGATCTCGAGGATGATGATGAAGAAAGTGAGCCTGAGGAAGAGGACACTGAAGACCAGATGTATGAAGAGGACGTTATTGACGACTCTTTACTGGCACCTGTAGATGAAGACTACGAAATGGCTTCGTCATCATTTTTAAGAAACTCGTATACTCCACTCACCTTTCCTGAATCCTCCCCTCCTGCCATCCCTGTTACACGGACTCATCCCAACAATTTGATCGTGGAGTCGAGCACTCAGGGCTCGGCTGATCGGGGCCTGCAACCCTCTCATCGGCAGCTGTCGACGGCAGCCTTTGCACAGCACGTGGTACAGAGTCCAAACGAAGACGATAACTTCGAGGTCACTGCGCCACCTCCGTCTCAATTCACAAAGGTTGATCCCGGGGCTAAGCCAGCACCAGCAAGGATCGAGACCGTTCTGAGTCAGTGTCACTTATATTTCTTCCTGCGTTCGAGACGCTAAATCAACTCTCGACGCAGACCCAGCCGACATTCGAGTCTTTGGTCCGCAGCCTGCTGATAGCAAGGGCATATTTGCTATTCCCTACGGTCACCCGTCCATCTTCACCTCGGCATTTCTGAATATGGTTGCCTGCGTCATATATAAACCCCTCGGGTTACTTATATGCATAATTTGTGAGATCGGTATCTCCACTAAATGTCTCTCTTCCCACCGACAGAAGCATCACGACGTGCCCGCGCTTACCGCCGAACAGATCTCGGCGTTGGAGGCCTACAAACTTCATGAGTCGGACATCTTCGAGGACTGGGACAATGCCAGCCCCGTTGTTCCCGGGATCCCCTATCAAGAAGGATATATGTGCACGTTTCAGGGCTGCTGCTTCGCCACCACCTCAGAGCAGCGTATCCGAACTCACAACAACCGTCATCTCACTCGCAACAATTGGAAGAGCTGCACTGTGCAGGCTCTTTATGCCAGCATGCAAATAAAGTACCCGGTAGTCGTCCCTGACTCTCCTCCTGCACTACATGCAGCTCCACCAGGGTCTCAAGATTTGCTCGACCAGGTGGAATCCTTCTACGAGCAGCACCGCGTTCTGCACAAGGGACGTTTGGGACCGCCTATGGACAGAGCTCACCTGAACCCTTTTCTGGCCAAGTATAACTGGCTGGAGGTGATCAAGGATGAGTCGCCTTCTGATATCGTGGAGTGGGTAAAGATGCCTGAGAGAGATGAAGGCGAGTTGACCGGCATCCTGCCGTGTTTTCAGCGTTATTTTGGCGAGATAATCAAGCTGCTGACCGATGAGAATGCATTTCGAAAGACTCGGATACTGCGGGCTGTCAACACCACAAAATCTCTGTGCGTTTTTTCCCTCTATCCATTCATTCTTGGCTGATGGTGCCATGACCCAGCCATGACCTCAATAATCGACCCTTCAAAGCACCGATGCGAAAGCAAACGGTCCACCGCTACGTGGCAACATTTGCCAAGTTGATCGCATTTGTATGTCGAGCAAAGGACGGTCATCTCAAACGTGCCAGCAACTCCACGGTTCGAAAGGTAGCTCTGGCGAGCAATATACAGCGCCGTAGCAAGCAACTTCTTATCAGCATGGACGAACGCCAGGCCGCTCATTCAGCTTCCCATGAGCTGGCAATGGTACTGCTAACGACACTGTATCCGCCTACGACGCCTCTTGAATGCCCAGGCAAGCTCTTTCTCATCTTCAGCTGCGTCAAGCTTTCCGGTCAAATACTGGATCCCATCCACATAAATCCATTTATGAGCGAGTTGAGATGGTGTTTGAGAGCCGCGGCTTTCTATCAGATTTGTCTGTTGTTCGAAAACGCTCCCACTTTGATTTTGGAGAACAATCCACAGGCGTGCGTGTTACCCCTCTCTTGTCTTTGACTGATGGCTGACTTGACTCGACGAACAGTCTGATTGAAGAAGTCCACAGGTGGCTCCGGGATGATTGCATGAATCTTTTTGGCGACCTGCTGGAGATAGGACATTTTCTCTCGTTTGTCACTGCCAACACGTCCCTGCTTCCCCGAATGATGTGGGCAGATCTTGAAGGCTCCGCTCTCAGTTTTGATGGACGACTTATTGCTATTGCCGACGTCGTAAATCTGTACCGCATCCTCATGGAGGAGACAAAGGTTCAGCTGTATGAAGTTGTGCTATTGGGGGCTGCTTTACCGAACATCGATCAGGAGCACATTTACGATGATTTGAGTTGCCTTGATCAGGACTACTCATTTCTATCCGACAGAAGGAACCGGTTCTGGGAGCATGGATCAGCGTTGATGAAAGAAATGATGTCGACTTTCTCTAAGCGTTTTGTCGCGTCGCACAACTCTAGCGGCGTGGTGTGGCACCAGGGCCAAGTCAGGCGCTGGATGAAGGATTGCGAGGACTGCCTTCAGAAGCTTTTTCTTCTCTATCATCTGGGCTCTGGACAGCCTGCTCGAGGCACCGAGCTTGCCATCATGTCCTGGAAAAACACCAACATTCACCCTAGGAACGTCTACTGGTTCTCCGGCCATTTGAACTTCGTGTCGCGCTATAACAAAACTCAGACCAACCAGGAGAAGGAGCGGGTCATTTCTCGGAGCATGCCTCCAGAAGCTGCTCAGCTGATGATAGCGTACCTCACGTTCGTCCCAAAGGTTCTGACCACCTTTGTCACATGTCCGAACCCTAACTGACCTTTGTCTCAAAGACTTTAGCCGTGCTCGCTCTCTACCTCAGCTCCGATGGGCAAGACTTTCAGTCTTCCGCTGGATATGAAGAACATCTGTTTAACGGGCTGCATGGGCCATGGGACTCGGATGACTTCTCCGACATCCTTATCGCCCATACCGGTAGACCAGTCTCCGAGGGTGGACTGGGTCATCCCATGGGCCTGGCCGACATTCGGCACCTTCTTATTGGCGTCATGCGCAAGAACTGCAAACGTCTTGTATCTGATCTTGACTTAGAACACTACTTTGACGAGCAGAGTGGGCACCAGGGGGAGGTTGCAAGGGGGTATGCGGTTGACCACTCATATGTCCAGTCCGTCTCAAGCGATCACCTGCAAAAGTTTGTGGCTCTTAGCCGCGCTCATCACGCCCTTCTCTTCCCTCCAGCAACCCCAATCATTCCCGCATCTCCTTCTCGTATTTTATCCTCTGTCAACACGCAGCCGGTTGACTTTAACTCTTGGTCCCGGGTCATATCACCATATCTTAGCATATCCATGCTCCCGATCATCCATCATGCCATCGCTGATGGCATGGCCGTTTGCTCTCCCTTCTCACGACCCTCCTTGAATATATCCCCCATCAACCAATTGCCTACAGGCCAACCTGCCAAGGAGACGCTTGTGCGCATTAATCCTAACAGATTCAGGGACCTCCGGGCTCTCATGGGTCCCCAGGCAATGTTTCAATCTCGTGAGCAGGCAGAAGCGGTGGAGGTTCTGATGGGACAGAGGGTGCACGCCGTGATAATGCTGGGTTGGAGAGAGAATAGGAGTTTATTCTACCTGCTCCCAGCTGTCTGTCCTGAGGAAGTCAGTCTCACATCAGTCGTTGTGCTGCCAGGATCAGACTACGTTCAGGCGCTCAAGGCCCAATTCGATCAGGAAGGCCTTTCTGCAGTGATCTGGTCCCCAGAATTTGGTAATCACAGTGCGCGGGCTGTCTTGGTCGCTTACGAAAGCCTGGAAAGTACTAGCTTCTGGACCTTCTTGGAGAACGCAAAGGGATCCCTTTCGAGGATAATTGTCGGTCAAGCGGAACATGCCTTCCAATCTTGGGAATATCAGTGTGCGATAGCTAATTGCGAGCGTCTCCAATGGTTGAAATTGCCCATTATCCTGCTCACTTATACCATGGCTCTAGCAGCTGCCCCCAAACTCCTGGCATATTTCAAAATGGACCCACTTGTGGCGCAACTCTGTTGTGGTCACACAGATCTTCGTAATATTCGTTTTTCTGCTTTTGAGGCCCCTCTGAGTAGTGAGCTTGAAGGCCCATTGTCGACTTGTCTCAATAAGAGCCTTCAGGATCTCACGACGGAGACAGAGCTCATTCTGGTTATATACCCGACCGAAGATGAAGCAGACCGAATGGCGACAATATTTTCCAAAGATGTCATTCATGCCCACCTAGCTCAGGACCGCATGGCTACGATACTTCAAGGCTGGAGGACATCACGTGGCGACCGTCGTATTCTCTTCTCCTCAGCTGCTCTTCCACCCACCCTCAATGTCACAGATATCCGGGTGGTGATCCACTACCACGAACCATCCAACTTCATCCGCTATGCTGATGCGCTTGCTTTGTTGTGCCGCGATGACAGGCCCAGTTACAGTTTTATCTTCTTTACGCCAGATGCCCCACCAAAGTCTTGGGATGGGGATGAGCCTGAGGCTCAACTCATGGGCGCCGGTGACGTCAGCCGATGGCTGCAGGAAAGAGCATGTCGGCGCTTGGCTTTAAGCTCGTTCTTTGGTTTCAAAGACAGTGGCTGCTGCCTAGACATCACAATTTGTCAGATCTGTGATGTCTGTGAGGAGACGCTGCAGCCGCTAGACAACGTAAGTACCAAGCGTTTTCGTATGACTGAGTAGGTTGATCTATGTCACTTAGACTCGCCGGACCAGTTCAGGTGGTAGCAGCACAGGCAACCTCACGCCTAGTACAGCCATTCAAATTTCCGCCGCCGTTGCATCCCGGATAGCCAACCAGACAGTGGTCACACGTGCCATCACCCACCGCCATCAAAGTGACATGCTGAAAGGGTTGCGCCCCTTCAAAGATGTTTTTTCTGGTGAGGAGATTTGTGGGCTCTGTTGGATGCTCGACGATGTGCCCTATCATGCTATGGCACAATGCAAAGTGCATCAAGAAATAATATCTGCCAGCGTTGCATACCACCGCTGGAAGAGAATCCTGACGCTCCCACCAAAGCACTGCTTCAAGTGCGGCCTTCCTCAAGTAAGTGTGTTGTATAAGCTCTCTCAACTCTCCTTAACAACGCTTGCTCCTAGATCAGAGACATACATGATTTTAATACTATGGATGCACCCTGCACAATGACGGATGTGATCAGACCCATGGTTTGGACCTGTTGGACTTCCGAAGGACTTCGAGATAGGATGTTCAAGCAATTTCCGGACCTACCGCAGACAGTAGATGAGATGGGTTATGCGATATGGCTGATGGCGACTAGCTTGGAGAGCCAGCTACTTAATTTGCTTGAAGTCGCAGTATGGACGCTGACGCTTCATGCTCTACCAAAGAAGGCTGCCACTGGCAGACACCATTTGCAGTAAACCGTTGCAACCTAGCAACTATCCATTCCTGCCACGTACATATGATTTCATACATTGTCGGTCTATAGGTCACTATGAACCAGTAATACGGTATGCACATTACAGATACGGCCTAATGATTGAATGCAACCGCCTTTATAGAATTCCGGCGTACTATCTTTATGTCTAACATGTTTGATCCAGTGCTGCGAGTGCTTTGAATGATCACTCTTTTTCGTCCTATATATATACTTCTGTCCTTTCTATTGGAGTCCGACGGAGCGGCAGCTTCGCCATGGCAAGGGGTAAAACGGTTCCCCTTGCCATGACCAATTTTCCGGCAAGCGTAATTGCACCGTCTTCATGTGTTCTGTACATTCTCAGGTCTGCGTTGCGCCCGGTAATCAAGAGAGACTGGTACTTTCAAAGCTGCCTTCCCTCTCTGCCAGTTTCCCTGCAACATCGACTCTCCTCGTGCGCCTGTTCAATCTGCTGGAGGGCTCCGATTACTCCACGACCGCTGTCGCTGCTGTACAACGGCTCTTGCGCCTCCCCCAATCAGTTTTAGTTCTGAGGAAGGAAAATCCCAGCTATTGCACCATCTACGTTTCTCGATCGACTACTTGCGTCGTGCTCGTCTGCTCGACGAGCAAGATCATGTTACCCATCATCAACATGCCCGAAAACGTCTTCAAACTAAAGCGCCGCTCTCGAATCTGGCTGTGTCCAACTGCAGCTTTCACGTCCATTTCTCTCCATGCGGCCAACCCATTTCGAACAAATGCAGATCGCTTGAAAGAGCCTAAAGGATCTCTATACCCGAAAACTCTAGATGGCTTAGGACTCGGAGGGGAGGAGCAGGTAATCCACCTATATCTTTTTTTCCGTTGCACCGACTGACCTCAAACATTTTTCATTCTACTCTACGTATTTACAGCTCGCTCCCGCACTAGTTCGTTTATCTCCCGGCTCTATACTGCTCGACCTATGCCATCATTTGTTCCACTCGAAGCTCAGCGTCACAATTTGTCATCATCCATCCTCACGTTCACACTCGCTCCTACTTCAAACTTTGGCGAGCACATCGATGTCGAGTTCTTACACGAGGCGCTTGGTCTGAAGTTGTAGCTTGGTGCGTGTCACTTCTCGACTTATCTTATTTGATTCAAGTATGTTTGCAGACTGTCTTGGAATTTCGTCCCCCGCATCTTGAGGTCTTAGTGCTCAATGATTTGGGTCCCGATGCTGATATCGCAGGACCTCCGCATTCCTACGCTACCATCTCTATCAAAGACCCAATGAAGACCCTTTTCAAGGCGCTCGTCTCTGCTGTCACCGCTCGCAGCAACGTTCCTTTCGGTTCACACTTTCCCGTATCGAAACTCGTCAACAAGCACTTCATACTCGCCACGCGAATTCAAGTTGCAGCTGCAAAGATTTGCCCCTCGATTCAGCGGATACCAGCAACACGACTCGCAGGAGCTGGTTGCGTTCCTACTGGATGGACTGCACGAGGACCTTAATCGTCTCCTCAGAAAACCTTACGTTGAGAAACCAGATTAGCAGGGAGGCGACGATCTCGAACTCGCCAAATTAGCTCAAACGTCTTGGGACGGATATATGAAGCGCAATGATAGTGTTATCGTCGTTCTCTTTCAAGGCCAATACCAAAGCACTCTTGTGTACCCTGGATGCGAGAAGGTACATATTGCGCGAACCTTTACTGCCCTCCGCTGACTCGTATCCTTCTTGCAGGTTTCTATCACGTTCGATCCATTCATGTATCTCAACACTCCTCCCATCGACTCCATGACAGAGATCAAAGAGGATGGGGATGTTAGCCAGGTTCGGTTGAAGAGGGTAGGTCGTGAGGACTGGACGAAGGCTTCACGTCGTTCACTGGCCCACCATACTACCCGTACACCCTGGTTCACTGTCCTCGTGCAGCTGGTGAGCCTCATTCGTGCACCTACCGCTCTTGACCTCTCTACACTCCCGCAGGATGATCCTACACACTCATCGACGAGAACACGTCTCTCATCTCCGTGTCTGCAGGTGGAGGTTATCATCGCCCTATTGTGGGCATGGAGAAATTTTACCTGAGCTCGTCTATTCTTGTGTAGCATCACGGAGATACTTCGAGTCAATCTCAACATTATCTCAACCTTGTATGCAATATAGAGTTCAAGTTCACAATCAACTTTATTCCCTTGTGTGGACGTGCATATACAATACAGTTGGATGCCTGAGGCCTGATGCCGAATGTGCTACACACTAAAGAGATACCCTACGATGATGGCAGGAAAGTTGTGAAGAATGAAATGCAACAAAAATGAATGAACGCGCAAGCCAAAGGGTCGATTCCCTAATATTGACCGTCCATGTGCTGAATAGGCGCACAGTAAAGCCAGCGCACAAAACGAGCGCGCCATCCAGTAACAGTGTTCTGAGGACGTGAAGGTGCTCCCATTGTCCCCGGGGGTATTGATGCAGAAGATGAGGTGCTAGTGAGGATCCTGTGGTGAGTTCTTGTATTGATTTGGCAAGCTGGTTTCTCGTCCGGCAGCTTCGCCATGGCAAGGGGTAAAACGGTCCCCCTTGCCATGACCGATTTTCCAGCAAAGTGGTTTTGTTACGCAAAACCAATAAAAACAAACCCAAACACCCTTGGACACGATTCAGAACGCGAACAAAAAAGACCACTCATTTCCTGCGTAGATGAATTCATAGGACATGTATCTCTACACAATGAGCCTCGGGCCTAGTTTCATTTCAAGCAGCAAACGTAGTTGCCTCGAAGCCTTGCTATTGTTCGCCTCCATGATATTCCCGGAGTAACGTTATGATGCTTCTACCACCGACCACCATATAAAATGGCCCAGGTAACCAGTAGGAATGATTAGGGCATGACATGGGTGGACCCGGGTGGCACCCGTACCCAATCCGTGGGTAGATGAAACTTCAGAGGCCTACCCGCACCCGTACGGGTAATGAAATATATGTAAAAAATCAATCAGAGTCACATCTGGGCGCAAGAGCTTTACCTCTTCGATATAGAGAGGATCTGCTACTGAGTTGAATGGGCGTTTATTGACCGCGCAACGCATCGCTATCAAGGCACGATGAGCCTCCACTGTATATTTCGAAACTGATCCAGTAATAGTTTGTTGTGCGCCAGTGGCATCAGACCCCGATGAGACACCACGTCGCACAGCACAGTCTTTGATGCCCGTGACGAGATTGTTTGTGCCCTGACCAGTCTGCATACGTTTCCGATAATGGGGTTTATGGGCTGTAGGATCAATACAACATGTGAAAACAAACTCGAGATAATCCGGACTTCCATTGGCTTTGAAGTGATGCTTGAGCGATGTTTCGTAGTGCTCGTAAGCTGGTGAAGTCCAGCGTGATGTCGATGCCTCTAGTGAAATGACATGTAGCTACATTACTATGTCGTACGATTGAATAATACTAGAGACACTCACTTATAATCTCATCGTCAGTATTGCTCCAGATTCCTATGTCAGACTGCTCTGCTTTGGCACGGCTCTGCTTCTTTTTCGGAGACTCTAGAATAGGAACCGGAGATGCCACCGGTCTTTTACAACTGCGTGTATTTGTTGCTGGCGAGTTGAAACTGCTCCTCGACATGGAGGATCGAGGTTAACTGACGAGAGACTCGGAGAGAGGGACCAGGCCACCAGGGTGACAACTAGCCGTGCAGCACACATCAAATTTAAACATCTCAAATAGATCTCGGTTGGCTCAGCGAGCTTGATTTTGACATCGGATAAGTGCAAGTAGGGAGGGTACAATATTCATTTGAAACTAATTTGTCACTTGGCACCGGTTCATACCTCTCATTGGGGTACTAGACCACCCGTGGGTACCCGTGGATACCCAACTTTAGCAAGTCCTCCCACCCGTACCACCCACCACCCATACCACCCGACCCACGTTCCATCCATGGGTGGCACCTGGATGGGTACCCGGGTAACCCTCACCCATGTCACGCCCTAGGAATGATGCCATCGGAAGATGGTTACCTCTGGATTGCTTTCATCTCTTCTCGCCCTGCCGGGGCTTGCCTTCTTCTCTCTGTCAGCAAGCGCTTTGCCTCATCCTCAGACAGCATCAAGCACGTCTATTCTCAAGCTTGCTGTTAGAATAAACTCGTACGGGATCAAGAACATCGCGGTTGCAGATAGAGCCCGAATCCAAACCCTACAAGCTGGCGGCAGCTCTTCCATCAGTCTAACCAATAATGTGACAACGTACACCGCTGATATCGGCGTAGGGAGTCCAGCAATGTACTGTAAGTTGCTCGTGGTTCTGCAATTTCTTTATCTGACGTATTGTCGATTTCATACAGACACAGTTCTGGTAGACACGGGAAGCTCAAATACCTGGATCGGGGCCAACAAAGCTTACACAAAGACTGCTACAAGCGAGGACACAGGCAATACATTTGTGAGTGTTTGTGTCTACGTGGCATGTACATTTGTCAAACCGTTTCCAGAGTGTTCAATATGGAATTGGTTCCGTTTCTGGAGAGGAATACACGGACACTGTAACTCTCAATTCTGACCTGGTCATTGAAAACCAATCTATCGGCGTCGCATCTCAATCCTCAGGGATGGATGGCCTGGATTCTTGGCCTTGGACCAGTTGATTTAACGCAAGGCACTGTCAGTAATACAGACGAAGTTGCAACTGTGACGGACAACCTGTATAAGCAGAGAACGATTGGTTCAGAAGTCCTTGGAGTGTTCTTTGCACCTGCTTCCTCCGATGATAGCAGTGGCGAGCTCACATTCGGTGGGTATGACAGCTCCAAAATCACTGGAGACATCAGCTATGTGCCCATCACATCGACATCTCCAGCGAGTACATATTGGGGCATTGATCAATCCATCAGCTATGGGTCTATGCCCATTTTGGATGAGACAGCTGGTATTGTCGATACCGGAACTACCCTGATTCTGCTTGCCTCCGGTAGGTGTCCTGTATGACATGAAAACCCTTCTAATCCACTATTCAGATGCCTTTGACAAATATCAGTCTGCCACGGGGGCGACCTGTAATGCGGAGGTTGGTTTATTACAGATCTCATCCGACCAGTACAAGAAGCTCTCATTCTTGTATTTCACTATTGGTGGTGTTACTTATGAGCTCACCCCGAATGCGCAAATCTGGCCTCGATCGTTGAACAGCGCCATTGGCGGTACCATCAATGGTATATACCTGGTTGTCAGTAGCACTGGGACTCCCAGTGATTCTGGCTTGGATTTCACCAATGGCTACTGTTTCCTGTATGTTAAGCTACAATTTTGTTTCGGGAAAATAAAACACTGAATTGTTCTTCCATAGCGAGCGGTTTTACTCGGTGTTCGACACGACAAACTCTCGAGTCGGGTTCGCCACCACCAAGTACACCGATGCCACCACAAATTACATTCATAAGGAACTGGCAGCTGAGCGCCAGTTAGCATCGCCTTTCCTCGCAATTTGTTCTTCCTCAATGCACCATACGACTCGCTCACTCACTCACTCACTCATTTTTGGCATCACATTGTAATATTCAATTTGCCGTTGATTTACATTGGCACGTTAACATCCCTTCACTAATAATGCTCATAGAGGTCACTCATTCTGCCTGCATGTCGAGCTTCCCGCCCACAAAGAAAGAGCACACTTGGTCATGTAACCGGAATACCCGCATATGAGTTATCCAGCGAATTCCCGAGTTCGGTGTAAGATATAGTTTGCAGTTGGCGCATTGGCCACCCCACACCACACATGATGGCTTCAGTATTACTACATCACTGACATGAATTTAGACAAGTTGGCAGATAGAGCGGAGCAGGTAAACGGGTCTGACTGTGTCAGGGTTGGTGTAAGGTGGGCTAACATTACTGGTCATAGAAATCAATGCAAACCACACAATTGTTTGAATCAATCAAGCTAAGTAGTACTAGTGAGTCTGCATTCGGATTCAGAACTTCCAAATGGGCCTTGGGCTTGAGCGTTGAACTTGAAAAAAATCTACGTTATGTATGTAAATAAATGTTCAAATGGGCTATAGCAAGCCTGCCTTTCTCAATGAATTACCGATCAGGTTTCTGTTCTGTAATAAACTCCTGCAGGTCATCCAAAGGCCATTTCCAGACTTCCCCTGCAGCCACTTACTAACTGACACTCATCTATGCAGGAAATGGTCTGCACACAAAGAGCCCCGGGCCTATTGGGAGGGGACTCCCCTCTTGGGGGCCCGCAATCGTTCCTTCCGCATGGGGCCCGTCGGGGGGGTCGCTTTCAGGGTGGTCGTTTCGTCCGTCTCAGCGGGGGTCGCTTGTGGTCGCCTTTGTCATCGCTTATCAATGGACTCTTGTCATCCAAGTGGCGCATCACCTTAGTCATCGCTTATTAATCACTTTTTTGTCCGAGTCCAAAACCATGCTCCTTGTCGATGTCATTCCATCCATGGTCTCACGACATCATCGCATCAAGATCCCGGCGACATATGACCAAAATACTCGAAAATCATGGACGCGTTTTCATCAGACCGTGGGAAATTTTGGCCTCAAATCTTTGTCGTGCTCCTCGTCTTGCTCTGTCCATCCATGGTCTTGTGCCATCTTCTCGTCGCATTCCCAGCCGCATACAGTCATAATGGTTGTACCACCTGTTAAAAACAGGAATTTCTTCTCCCCGCAGCACATACAATATATTTAAGAGACCCAACAGATGGTGTCGATGATACTAGTCCAACTATGTAAGTTCCAGCGAGATGTGGGAGGCCAACACAAGTGTCGTACCCTGAGTCTTCTTTTTCTTGTCATTCTTTTTCTTCTTCCTCTTCAGCTCATCACAATCATCTTCTAGAATCAATATCTTCCTTGGATGGTCCTTGCGCTGTTACAGGACAATATCAGTCCCTTAGCCTTTGTGATGTGTCCGATAAACTCCTCATAGTCTTTTTCATTACAAATTGACATTGGAGTTGGTGAGACTCGAGGAATGGCATAAAGTGCTTTGTAGTTGTCATAGGAAATCTTCTGTGGCTTTGCTGAAGAACCTGGGTCTTGAATGTGTCGAAAGGCTCGCTGAGACCAAGCTTCAAGTACATGTTAGTTTCTTTTCTCTTCTTTGGATCATCCTTCTTCATCTCGGCAACAGGGATGATCGAGAGACGCCAGTGACAAGAGATGCAGATAGAGCTGGCTGTTCAGTTGCTTGGGCCTGAGGCTGCTGATGAGCCTTATCTAAAGCATATAGTCAGACACACAACAGATATATATGCGCTGGTTTTCGCTTTTTCTGGTGCTGCTGAGTTGAAGGTGTAGCTACAGCTGGTATGGAAGCCTCTGGTGGTAGTTGGTTCATGGCATCCAGCTCACGGTCGATACTATCTCGTGCCCGCTGTAACACTCGGGTCGGCACTGGGCACATATCTGGTCGAAATCACACCTTACATTCCTCGACACACTTCCGATCTTCCAAAAGTTCCGCACACTTATCCAAGTCGTCTGAAGGTCGTCCGCCCAATTCCAAGGCCTTTCTAGCTCTTTTGATCCTCCATACCATGTCCTATCCTTGTCCATTTGACTTCGCTGGTGTATTTTCCACTTGGTTATCTGTTATTTATTATGTCTAGGGGCACATACATCGAAAATCCTTGCTAATATGTATAGATATGCACCTCGTGCATTATTACATGTATATCTTTGTAGCGACTCGCCTTGAGTTCTTATTACATTTCGGATGTCTTATATCGCAACAGTTCTTGCCCCTATGCATATTCCAGACTTTCACACAGTAGGATATATTCTGGTTCGCTAATACTCGCAACTCACTTCACTTCCCTTGCTTCAAGTCATAGTTAGTAGTAGTCACTTTCGGAATTTAGTACTTCGCGCAATCGATCTTGGTTCATTAGGAACGATTGTTTGGCCTCACTGCTGCCATTTTGCTATTGAATTCCTTGAGTCTTTCGACGGACTTTGCTAGTCATACTACGCAGAGTTCTATACTTCGACAACTGCCGTATTCTCTACTGGAAACCTTGCTGTTTCATCGGAAGCTCGCCGGATGCTTCATGCAACCTTGGACCTTCGTTTCTCAATGTCGGACCTTTACCGGACACTTCGGACAACTCATCGGACACTTCGGACAATTGCTCAGAACTCTGAACGTACTTGAGGTATCCTTTCCTTCTCTCATCTTCAACCTTAACTAGATATCCCTTGCATTTTATATCAAGAGATAATCCTACAGGTGGTCTCTTTGGGATGAACATCTCACTCGCACTCTGAGTCTTAAGGTAACACCTTTTGTATAGCCCACCCGGGAATCAACTCTTTACATAGTACTCGCTCAGCAACAGCTGTATACCCTGAGCTTTCATCCAAGTCTGATTCGGAGCTCAAGAATGAGAGCTCCATGATGCTATCTGAATCAGTGTCTACGAATTCAGCACTTTGAATGCCTTTGCCATTGTGAGCAGGTAGCATGCTCTCTCTGACTTCTTGTGACCTCCTCATTCCAGAATATGGATCATCTGCTGGCAGCTTAAGGTAGAGGACTTGCGAATTCAATGAACATCATGTGCCAAAGCGTTAAGAGTGACAAAGCTGAAATTTTCAAAATCAATTCAACAGGAGGCAGAATGTATAAAAGTAGTTCATGCAAAATACGAGAAACACTAGTGTACACATTATCCATAGAATAAATCAATGCTACATAGAGATGGTGAAAACATTTTGAATTTCAAGAGCTTTCGCTCTGCAGCAACCCCTTCCATGGATTTTTGGGGTCGTAATCATACCCAGCATATAATAACATGGGCCATTGATCTCCACAAACAGCGGTTTCACCGCTCTTGAGATTCTGCTTAGTTCTAAGTAGTATTATGACAGCTAGTTGATTGAATGATTGAATGACTTACTCTGCATTTGACCAATCAAGGCCTGCGGGGCAAAGTAAAGCACCGGTTACTTCGTGATTGAACCCCCGATCTGACTTGATATTCCAAGAGAGGGGTGGTATGACTACCTGTCCTCTGGGCACAAGCCATTCAAGGACAGCAGATTTGAGGGTCTTGGTATCATCACCTCGCACACCAGAGGCTCCTTTACCCAGCTGCAAACAGTGAGTACAATGGTATTTTTAATTTTTTGAACCTACTAATTCTCCTGCGTGAATAACATCTTCCTCCTCGCCATTCGTCAAACGATCTAGAAGACCAGGATAGGAGTCTATTAGCTCCATGAACACCCTGTGTTCCCGTCGAACACTGTCATTGAATCTAGCAGTAAGTCATGGCGGCATGTAATCATCGCAATTGCACTCACTCGGCGGGATAATCCTCTATGGGAGAATCTTGTAATTTTTCAAGTCAGAGAATACCAGCAGTTAGAAGAGAAGGATAGTTACAAAGGGCAAAAACTGTGCGACCAAAATGCCGACCATGAAGTACCAAAGGATTTGAGGAAGGCCTGATGATGAGGACAAAGTGAGGACGACAGTAGTTCACCATGCGAAGAACACTGACACTTTTTTGCGCAGGCCCAGACAAAGCGCTGAACCACTGCGTTTGCGTGAAGAATTGGGATTATTTCCATCACTACTCATAATAATAATAATAATAATGTCGAACGAGGCGGCTCTGATATCAGTAATAAAAGAGATGCTTTACTATATACCAAAAGACACATGATCAAGAAAACTTCTCCATTCCGCGCCATGGATATCGCAAAAGGAAATGAGCCCCGCCATCCGAGTAGCACAGATATCATAATGTAAAATAAAAAACCGCCATCCTAGAGCCATTAATATTGGATGGTGTATTACCTCACCTCACAGTATAGTCATATGGCATGCAGATACTTGAGTCTACAGCACTATTTCAGTAACTGTTGCACCATTTGGACATCAGATGTCAGGCTCACCCTCTCGCAAGCATTTGTGACAATGTACCCACATTGGAGGCAATGTCACACTAAGGTAAGCTCTTGGGCAATGCTGGCATGCAATATCAAATTTACAAGTTACCTTGAGCTTACAACTCTCCTCGGTGCACAGAGGCTGTGATGTGGATGAACTACGCGGTAGTGATTGTGAGTGAGTAATCAAGCATTACAAAAAACTACACGGAATCAGACTTACCCTGCAGACAACTTCAAACGAAGCAATTGGTCCATTCAGGAACTCAAACAACACGACAGGTGAGATTCAATGATTGAGGAGACTGAAAACCATCCAATGGATCTGAAAAAAATTAGGCACCAACAAGGAGTCCAAAAGCGGGCTAGAATCTGAGCTGTATCACGTCAAGGAAGAGCTAAGGAATGCAGAAAATAATATTGCATACCTTGTAGAATGGATGACAACATATAGGCGAAGATGGCTGGAGGAGTACTACCACACTGACAACCTCGAGCGTTATATGCCCTATGGAGTTTGTGTGCCCAACACCGGTCAGATCTCGAATGACACTGCTTCTCCCACAGGGTACTTGGCCTGCGACATCGAAGGTTCAGAAAAGGGTGTGATCTGTGAGTCTGCAGGTGTTATTTTAGAAGAAGAGTAAGGGCACCTGCGAGAGGACAATGCATAGAGTCAGGGTCCGATATGATGTATCAAGATAGGAATTATTATATTGACTACCTAATAGTCAACTCGGAATTAAAGTCATGCTTTGAAGATTCGAGATCATGCTTACCATGAAAATTTCAAATGGGTGTTGCGCTAGTATATTGTATGGTACGCGCATGCCTCACAAATGCATGCCGATCGGGAAAATGACGTCAACGATGGGCAGTCATACACTGCTGCTTAGATTCATACCAGAGTTTCACTACTACATTAACTATACTAAAATAATGTTATAAAGTACGTGAAAAGTTAAGTAAAGTCTAAGGTGCTGTATTAACTCCAGGAAAAAGTAAGTAGAGAGAGGAATAAGGTTGACAGTTCAAAAGAAGTACGGTCAAATCAAAGAAGGTCTTGATATAGTGAACAACTACATTTAAACTCAGCCGGTATTGAGCGCTAACTCACTTACTAATCGGGTGTTGCCAGCTGGGTCTGAATCACATAGCCATTCATTATATCAATTGTGTCCTTCGCATCAGAGAATCCTTTCTGATCTCAAGTTTTGAGCAGCGTTAGTGACTAAGCACGATGTGAATGTGAATATGTAGAGAGTAGTACTATTGGTAATCTGCCACTCCACAATTAGCTGGTGGTGTACTTAGTGATGTGAATACATAGAGTAGCAGTACTGATTTGTCCCTCCAGCGTTGGCTGGTGGTGTGTAGTAGTAGTGCACCATTCAGCGGGCGGGCGTTGGGGAGGCAGCGGGACTTCACTATTTCTACTCCGGTAGGAGGACCTCACAATTAACTTATGTGGCAATTGATCTTTGCTGTAGCATTTTACAAGACAATGCTGCTGCACTTTGGGTCCACAATTCACAAAATTTACTGTGAGTATTAGCTAAGATCCACACAATAGTGATTCACTACAAATACTGACGTCATGCATCTTCTTTCTCCTACCACCACCTCGATTACGATACAATAGCTTTGCATAGATAGCATTATATAGATTCTCGAACGCAAAACATAGACTTTTGAATACAAAAAACGTAGACTTGATTACAGAAGTATGCAGAAATTTAAGTTTGCTATAAGTCTGAAACTGATCATACTACGCAGAATCATGTCCAAACGTGCCGCATCCAGTGGTGATGAACCGACCGCAAAGCGTCACTGCAGGATTAGCAAAGGTAAGTCGTGATTGAATATCGTCACCATTGTTATTCATGAGCACGGTGCAGTGAATCAGACAGGACAATCAGCACTATATGATAATGGCGCATGGGAAATTTTGAAGCAATTCCTCATGACATCCATGTTGTTATCTGAGATGGACGACTCACTTGTGGCGTATCTCGGCGACCGGTACTCTGAGGATGACTGGGTGGAACCCCGATGTTTGTTATTCTCCGGTGACGCTGATAACAATGAATCCTTGAGGGTTCTTATGGCGCTGTGGAGAATGTACATACCAGATCCATCAAAAAAACTGTCCGTGCACACATCTGCATCGAGTCCGGACAACCATTTGTCAGGCTCGCGCATCAAGAAATTGCATAGGTCATACAAAGTAAGTGAATTTCGTGAGTGATATTTTCGTACACTAAACAACATATAGCGTAAAAATATGTATATACTCGATGAGGCCAAGGAGGACAATGAGGAGGAGGAGTATGAGGAGGGAGATGGAGATGGAGATGGAATGTCTGTTCAGTTGCCGAAGGTCACACGAATGCAAGGGCCATTGCTGAAACAGAGGTTGGCTGCAACCTTCGACGACATGGCCAGTTGGTTCGAGCATGCCCAGCTTATCCCAAAGCTGCAAGGATCACACTCACAGAGCTCCTGAAAGCAGGATGTATCTGCTTGATATTCAAAGTAGGTTTCTTTTGAGTCCCGTAGCATATTACTCACTCAATGCATCACAGGAACTGTCACAGAACATGTCGCTGACTATCTTCGGAGGAAAAACTTCCTTGTCACCTTGTCAGCTTGGGTAGTGGGCCAAATTTATGTTGTTGCGGACAGTCCCAAGACCATCGCAGATTCTCTACATAACTCGCTTTATGCTGGCATCAAAAAGTACAGTCGCATCACGGACAAAGAACGTGGAGCAGTCGAACGATCACAAACCACTCTTCCCAACCCGGTGTGGGTGAGAATCAGGCATGGCAAGTACAAGGGCTGCGTAGGCCAAATCTTCAAGTCTGGGCAGGATACTGTTGAAGTCCTATGTCCTACACGCAACTTTCCCTATCCGATGCCCCAGGGGTGTCAAGCATTGGTCGAGCAATCTCATCTTCCGAAAATGATTCAGTGTCTGACATCATCATTGGTGACAAAGTAGTAGGATGGACATTCAAAGGAGAAAGGTATTACATGGGGCTCCTTCTAAAACACTTCCACCGTGATTAGCTTGAACTCCTCACCTCTCCTCACGTCGACGACATTCAACTCCATCTCGAATCCAGATGGGACAAACCTTTCCTCAGGAAAGCTGTCATGGCATTTGCAATGCAATTTTTGCATGTGGGGGACCACGCCAGGGTCATTAAAGGTTCTCTTAGTGGAGAGCTTGGTAAAGTGATCTCGACCGACCATACTTATGGTTCCGTGTGCTTGGAATTTACCTTTCATGAATGTCCGGAAGAAATAGAAGTCCGACTGCAAGATGTTGAGCGTGTCTTTTGGGTCAGTGACTCCGTTAGAGTTATAGCCGGTCCGTACTTGGGTTTGGAAGGACACATCCTTCAAAAGGCTGAGGACGTGTTTCACGTTTGTCAAGTGGCTACTAAGGAAGTGGTAAGTCTAGTGGAATCAGTCAAATTGGAGGATGCACTAACACTTGCTGCACAGGTGGAAGTCTCAAAATATTACTTAGATCGGCATCCGTTGAGTCACACACTCCATTCAAACCTACAAGTGCAACAACATTGAGAGCCTCCCCGGACTCTAACTTGATTGAAATTGGGGATTTCATTCAAGTCCTGGACAGGGAACACACTGGGAAACACGGCGTCATTGACTGGTTGTCTAAGGGAGATAGTTATCTGTGGTTCAGGGATCTCTTCACTCCAGTTGACACAAAGTCCGGACTGTCAAGTAGCTCAGTTCATATAGTGATGGTTCAGCAGACAGACCTCACATGGACAATCCAGTACACAAAAGAAAGAGGCTACAATGTTAAACCTGGAGACACTGTGAGTGTTGCCCGTGGGCCGGAGTATGGGGCAAAAGGGGTCATACAGAGCATGGACTTTCCCAACACTTGCTTGACCCTACTATGTGACAGTGACTGTTTGCTTGTAAGTAATAATCTCTCATCACAACTCAGGCATCTTTGACTTGTGGTAGATTGACGTTCAAATCAGATTTGTTATCAAACTACACAATGTAAGCTTGGATTCTTTCGAGAAGGATATCGTCCAGGAAGTTTTTGTGATTGTGGGTGATTGGAAGGGCTACTGAGCAACACTCTACAGTCTTTCCCCCGAGACTTGTACCATTGCTATCCATGGGCAGCATCACACCACCGTCAAACTTCACGATGTTGTCACCAGGTGAGCAGCATCCACATTTTGTAGTGATTTCAATATTGATGACTTCTAAGGTATGGCACGAGGTTAAGTGGTGCGATGCTCAAAGGCCCGGATTTGATTTGATTTTGCGACATGCGGAGAAGATCTTACTTGATGCTACCAGCCCGAAGCATCACACCACCTGTCGAAATCACTCCCTCTGGCTCGTCCACATCCATCACAGATCTCAGTCTCTCGTCATCCAACAGGTGGGCCAGCTGGTCCGCAAGCCCCGGGGATGTTGATATGATGCATGACCCTGCGTCCAGCATCAATCCCAGCTCATCCACATCTGACCCCATGACTTGAACACGAACATCTTTCCGTCTTCGTCTCCGGTACACGACCTAGTAGCAAGTAGTAACACAAAAACAGGATGTAATGTTGTTGGCGGGGTACCGTATTAGTGTCTATGTAGCTATAGACTTGAGAAAATTTCGAAATTCAATTCGAACTACAAGATTAAATACAAGCCTGTCATGTACCTTTGATTCTTTGTGGGAAGTCAGTAAGACAACTTCTGTCACCTGATGGTGAATTTATTTAACTCAACGCAATATGAATAGGCTTGCTCCAGCCTCGCCCAGGCCCTGGTTTATCGTGCAAATATATATGTTACGTTAGGAAACATGTATTCATACCACTGTCTACACAACTATGTTGCCTTCTCTTAGAAGCATGCAGGAGAAGTGTGCCGGATTGGTGATCTCATAACAGTTATGAGCATATGAAGACGTGCGTAAGTTATTAAACATACCTCTGATTCAATAATATACTGAAGGTATATAGGATCTGCTGAAGAATTTCTCTATGTTCACTGACCAGAAGTAAGTAGCATCCATTGTCCTTGATGTTCAAATGGACCTCACTTACACATATATCTGCAAGTGCTGGTCGCACATTCAGCCACATATGCTCCTTGGCAAATCCCTGCAGGGCGCGCAAATACAGATACCTCAACATATCGGCTACCCGTGGTGCAAAGGCAACACGGGTAGCGAAAATCATGTGTTTTGCAATAAGCTTGGAATAGTGAAGGGTGTATCTTATACCCGTATTGGTCAGTTGGCCTGTGGTGGATGTGAGTGAATGATAAACTTCTTTTTATGAAAACAAGTGATTTACCATTGGAATGTTGCTAGTTCCCCCGTTTGGCCGTGGTAGTGAAGTATACCATGGCGGGCAGTGAGGATCACCACCAACATCTTCAAAACTCAAAGGTCAACCACCCCTCCCCCTGTCAGCTTCTGTAGGAGGCACTATCCCCCCTGATGATGACGTAGGGGAACCCGATGCTCAGGATATGAGCTTGGCTCGACGCCGATCGAGATGACAGAATTGCCAGCTACCCAAGCAATTCAGGGACATCCTTCCTCAGGCTCCACCCACCGTACCCTCAGAAGTCTGTGACTGACCTCCCGCATCTGTTGGTCAAGTTGTGACTTCGTCCGAAAGACCAGCTTCATTATCGCACTCTATATTCCGCACACGGCCAAACATATTCGGGCTAGTTTGCCAGTATTTCTCCTCTACACCCCCATCCCACGACCCAGAAGAGTATGTCACCCTGGCAGATCTCTCCTTTATTCCTAACAGCGGTCTGATCACTGAAGAGCAGCCCCATTCACCCACTGCTTCAGGCAGCAGATATCAGTACCATCCCTATCCCAACCACTCTGCTTTTCAACTCGGTGATTGGTACTGGAATCAGGGGGTACGATGATGGCATCACGCGCAGATTCTACCCTAGGATCTGTACTTACTCGGCAGATTATCCTGAGAAGTACGTGAACTTATAGTGTATGGGTCTTGCGTTAGTCCTAACTTTGCCAGAGTGCTTATAGCCACGGTCCGAAACCTTGGAGGCTGTCCATGTCCGCATTGTCTTATCCCAAAAGTTCGCATACAGAACATGGGAATGCCTCAGGATAGGCAACAACGTGAGACCCTAGAACACAATGATGATTGACGAAGAGTTATGGTAAGCGCTGCACGGTCGTTGATCTATGAAAAGGACTATGGAGTGGGGAGCACAGCGGTAGAAGGTCTTCTGAAGTCACAGTCTTGGGTTCCCACTTTGGTGAGGTTTAAGCCTCCATCAAGGACTATGACTCACCCACCTATAGAATGTATTTTCCGATTGACTTGCTGATCTTGGTTTTAATATCTTCCGCACCCTTGTTGTAGATCTCTTACACAAGTTTGAGATAGGTGTTTGGAAAAAACTTTTTATTCATTTATTACGAATTCTTATGGCGGAAGACAAGAGTCTAGTCCATAAGTTGGATGAAAGGTATGTTCCGTAATCACTAGTCACCAATTCAGCCTGATATCTTCACAAGATACAGGCAAACGCTCACATTCGGCCCAACAACCATCTGAAAATTTTCGGCCAATGCTTCGGACCTGAATCATATGGTGGCCCAAAACTTCGAAGGCCTTCTCCAGGTATGCTCCATCTCACACTGAAGTTGGATGGGCCTTGACTCGATCTGAAGTGCGCTATACCTGTCTTTGATAGTCTTCTCCCTGAACCACACAATCAGACTGTCATGCAATTGCTATTTACTATGGTGCATTGGCACGGACTGGCTAAGCTTCAAATGCACTCTGACCTGACACTAAACATTATGGACCAAGTTACTTCCACAGTTGGCCAACAGTTTCGGAATTTCAAAGCCACTGTTTGCTCAGCATACAATACACAAGAACTTTGTCAAGAGGCTGAGGCTCGCGCCCGATGCAATGTAAAGCGCACTGCAAAACGAGCAGTAGGACAGCAGGGCAAACAAATGGAGCCCAAGCATACACAGCACAATGAGGTATTCAACTTTCAGACCTATAAATTCCATGCTTTAGGCGACTACATTTCTACCATTTGTCTGTATGGCACGTCCGATTTGTACAGCTCCGAACCTGTCAGTCCTATCATGCTCAGTCCCAAAATTCACTTACTGACTTTATATCCAGGGTAAACTCAAACACCACTCTCCCAAGGCTAGATATAGCCGCACAGATTGTAAATCATTTGTGAAACAGCTGACCCGCATCGAATGCCGTCAGGCTCACATCCGCCACATTGGTGACAAGATAGTTCATCGCCCCCACGTAGAAATCGCCGAAATGGCAGGAAGCCCAGATGTTCACCACCACATTGGCATGACACAAAAGTACCCTATACACATAGGAACGTACTTGCGCAGCCATGAGAGTGATCCAGCGATCAAAGTCAGTCCAATCATACTTACCCCAAGAACACCTTCAAATTCCCCCGTACAGAATTTCCTTCCGAAGCTCAAGCAGCATTTATTACAGCGTATTCACAAACTCACAGATATCTCATCTGAAGACACCAAAACCATTATTATCAAGGATTATCATTTGTATCACCATAACATTGCCCGATTCAACTATACTATGTACGATGTTCATAGAGCTCAAGACATCGTCAACCCATGTACTTCCCACTGTAACGTAATGGTTCTCTCCTCTGACAACGATATGGGACTCGAAGGCCATAGGTTCATCTATGGTAAAGTGTTGGGTGTTTATCATGTTAATGTAATCTACGTTGGAGTCGGTATGATAGATTTTATTCCTCTACGAGTTGAGTTCCTATGGGTTCACTGGTACGAGCCCATGGAGCAGGTCTCCTCTTGGGACACCTCTACTCTCGATCGACTCAGGTTCCCGCCTATGGATGATGAATCTTGATTCGACTTTATTGATCCGGAAGATATCCTCAGGGGTTGTCATATCATTCCTGTGTTTGCCAGGGGCAAGAGACATCATGATGGATTGGGGGTGTCCGTGTGTGCAGGAGACAAGGAAGATTGGCATGAATACTATATCGACCGGTGAGTTAAGGGGACAATTCATAAATAACCAAAGCTGAGCTCACAACTTTAGGTTTGTTGATCGCGATGTGATGCTCGGACCTGCGCTGGGCAGGAAACAGGGTATTTTCATATATGTGTCAAGGAGTATAGGACACTATCAGTTTCAGTATCATTGTCCACCTTTGTCCTAAACCGAACCCGCTTTTCCCGTGCTTAGCGCGCCCGCTTATCCGCGCTTTCCCGCGCATCGGACGCACGTTCCCGCGCATCGGATACCTCGGAAACGCATTAGGAAAGTCCTTCGTCCATCCATAGTCCATCTAAACCCCATTGGTATGTGAATTTCCTTACCTCGAGGCTTGTAAAAGGTGTTGCAGCCTTATTACATGTCCTTACATATTTACTATATTTCCTATCCCTTCCTACTCCGAGTGGGATTTTAGACAGTATAAGTTGCCTGTACTTAGGACTACTTACTACACTTCCCTCATACTGTATGCCTCACCCTATAGGTTTACCTTCGAAGTAGTAGGTTGTAGTGCACGCTTTTTAGCCCCTATTAGGTTCCTTATACCTCTCTATACCTAGGATCCCTTACCTCGCAATATACCTTTGCCCTTGCTCTCTGAAACCTCGTTCCTTGACTTCCCTATACCTTGTCCGCACTTTCCCGCACTTTCCGCACCTTCGGCCGCACGTTCCCGCGCCTCGGATAACCTCAGATACACTCCTATACCTCGCGCATACCTGTCCGCTATTTTCCCGTGCTTAGTGCACGCTCTCGGGTCCGCGCATATCCATCATCCTTCTAACAGCAAATCCCTTTAGAGTCGAACACATCTGTTTAGACATAGCAGCTAGGCATTAGCTAGACCCAACTTTGTCCTTGCCACTCAGCAGGACTGTTGTTACTACAGCGACATGTTGATGCACTTTCACTTTGGTCTTGGAGTGGGTCATGTTTACTCTCACTATCGCTTCACACAGGTCAAACCACAAGAAGTCATCACAGGCAACGAGGCCGAAGATACTGATGAAGAAGATGCCGATGAAGAAGATGCTGATGATGCTGATAGTATCAGGGACAGACTAACCCTCGAGGAACACTTCAATTCCAGCGACGAGTCGTTGTTGTCTCAATTTGGCCAAATGTATGATACTGAACTAGAAGTAGATTACAAGAATTAAATGTTGCCCGTGACCTTGAGGAACAGGCTTTACCACTGTGTTGATGCACGTAATAAACTCAAAAAGCCTAATAATCCTTCCTCAATGGCACTCGAATGGCACAAAGTGGCACTCATTTAAGGTATAATGTTACACTCTGCACATAATAATGTTGCAATGGATTGATAAGTACCAAGCCGAATAAAGGCCTCTATAAACTTATATCTTTTATCTCAAAAATTGACCAACAATGTCTTTACCAGAGTATCAACTGCAGAACACCCAAGCCCTTTATGACATCAAATGCTATATGTACAAAGAGACCTTCCCCTGCATGATGCCTCTACTTGTATGTCTTTCTGCCTTGCCAATTGCTCGTTCCTAACTCAATTTCTTCAGGGAAATCTCGCAGGCATAATCGACACCTCTTTGTTGGGTATGTTGTGGTCAGCCAGCATCCAGTGTTGTGTCCTTTGTATGTGAGTATGTCTTTTCTTGAGCATGTCCTGTCGTCTCACTACTATGGCCTGCAGTGTTCTTTGCCAGGTCTTGAGAATGTACTAAGGCTCATTTTTTATGAGCCTTATATATTGATTAGCTCTGAAGTTACAACAGCACATCAGACTCTCCGCATATTTAGAGACCGGATGCATCCACGCTTCTGCACTCGAGGTAGAATGCACCAAGGTACCACTCTACACCATAGATGTAAGTCGAATCCGAACTTCGCCTCACCATCCTATTGATTAGTCTTGCAGAGGCACATCTCCCTTGCATCATTAGATCTGCCTGCTAAGTGGACCAGGCAGGACCAAGACAAAAAAATTCACATTGTTTATGATGGCGTCGTAAGTCTACCTTGCAATTCTGGCTCTATCTCTGGTGATGGTTGTGCAGGTCGATCTAGCAAACTTTCGAACCATCGTTCATTGGGCGGATTATCCATTAGGGTACAACATGCCCGTCTTCAATTTTGGTGGTATTCCTGATATGTTGGAAGTCCATTCAACCATATCGGTGAACGACCATTCGTTCTTTAATGGTTGGCCTTTATCAGATGTCAATATGGTGTCGGAAGGGGATGGTAGCTTCAGTGCTTACTCCCACCATGGAGCACCTTATCCCACCCACTCTGCCCCTTATATCACCCACTCTGCGCCTCATCCCACCCCAGCTGCATCTCATCCCGCCCCAGCTGCGTCTCAGACACTTGTCAATGATGCGCATGACGCCAGTGGCCAAGTCGTTCCCCAGCAGCCTGCTGTTAACTTGAAGCAGATCATGAAGGAATACCCCAAGTGGAGGTTGGTCCTGGCCTACCTACAACTCCTTTTTAGAGTGGCAATTTGCACAGGGAACTCTGTTGTGAACCCTCATGAGATCACCACCAGCAATGCTGATGTGAAAGCTAACTTGATCACCACTCTGTTTTCCCAGAGTCTCAAACGTGCCAATACACTTGAAGAGGACTTAGAAAACGGTAAAAGCTCATTCATGCAATACAGTATACATTTACTGATTACTTTGCAGTTGTTCTCAATGGCTTGACCATAACTCGGGAGGCTATGCTCGTGATGGTATATTTCTTCCTTGTTTTGTTTCTTGTCTCACCTCGAATAGGCCGTCAAGTGGATATTCCAACTTATCTACAATACAGCTCAGGTAGCCGATTGGGCAATCACTCATCATGAAGCAGGATTTGGACTCCATGACATCTTTGGTCCTGTTCTTCAAGCTAAGCTTGAGACGTTGCTAGAAAACTTCTTGCATCCGAAATCCAACCATCTTCCGATCAATGTGAGTTGTTGATTTATATCATGTTATCCAACTCTTACTCTTACTCCCATAGCAAAATGGTTTGGTTTGGTTCTTTCGCTCAAAGTTTTCCAAGACGCTTGCCTGGCACATCGTATTCAGAAAGACCAGGTTGAAAGGTGCTCTAGCCCACTCAACCCCTCATGTGCCACTGGTCATGGCTGATCTTGAGCCTGATCTGTTCAAGAATGCTCCCCACCTCCCGGAAGCCACCCTGGCCTACGTGGCATCTTCTGTAAGTTGTATTCATTGTCTATGGGGTTTTCGTTTATAAAAGTATCTTGATATGTTAGTGCTATGGCGTGCTGCTCTGAGAACTCGATATAGTCATGATTAACAACCACGGTAGTTCCTATGACCTAAGCCGTTATGCATCTCCTACCACAGTTCACACAAATGCCCTTGAGATGCTCAGGATGTTACTACAACTAGACGATGACCCAGGATACCCCGAGTTCATGGACATCATGCGCCCTTTTTGTAATCTCGCGTGAGTTCCCATCCTTGGAATCTATTTCTATGTATCTGGCTAATAGTAATGTCCTGTGCAGGGTGCAAGATGTTACACGGGTTGTATGCCCCAGGAAGAAGTAAATGTCTTTGAGATATCTTTTGCGCCCACTCTCACTTAACTGTACCTCTTGTATTTGAAATATCACCGTCTTCCCAGCTTGCGCCATTTGACAGCACTGGAGTAAATTCAGTTTGCCCAAGTGTTTAGTAAGCTCTTGAGCCGCACAAAGCTACGTAAATCAAATTATTAATTATTTTACTAACATATCTTATCTTGATCGCCATCTTCCGCCACCTTCCGCCATCACGCTATTAATAGCACCGGCTGATATAGCGCTCAAACTTCAAAAAGTCCATAGGCAGATAATTATAAGGTCGTTGTTCAACGATTTTGCAAATGTTTCGACCCACCAACTTTCGACATGGTGAAGATTATTTCAACTTTTTCTTCTACACCTGTAGGCCATTTGACAAATGTCTTTCTTGGGATTGAATGCACCGAGGACGCCCTGGCATCTTGGCTGGGGACACACGGGCCCAACATTGTGAGTATCCATACATGTTTTCATATTTTTTGCTCAAAACTTTACTTCTAGGTTCCAGTCTCCATCTTTATCACAGCTTCTGTGCTGTTTGGATTGGTCAACTCCCATGACCTTATGTCTCTTCTTGAAACGATCCTCGGAGAAGTTGTGAAGCAAATGCAGCTCCAGCAAGAGGATAGTTGTATACAATTCCTTAAGCAAGGAGGGTGTTGTGTTATGGAGGAGATGATGTATCATGCTCAGATGGAAGTATCATTATATAGTAAAGCTATTGCGAAGCTCTGCGAAGAGTTGGATGCCAGAAATCAGCCAGGTGTGCCGCATCATTGAAAGGCTTATGTTGGATACTAAATGTATTCCCAGCATCGGGGTGTCTTCGCTCAAATTTGGAACTAGCTTCAGTGAACACCATTGGGTCTATGGAGGCATCTTCTCGTACACTCAAATTCTGTCCCTTTCAGCCTTTAAATGATATTCAAGATAAATCATACAAGAAATGCCAGGCATGGCTTCTTAAGTCAAATATCCAAGACACTGCGGAAGTCAGTTTTGATGTCAGCCAAATGCTGTCCTAGCCAGCCTTGCACTTGGGAAAGGGTGAAGACGGCGTCATCATTGTCGTACATGGTATGGTACCAGAGTGTACTCCATGTGCTCCCAGACCCCAAGCTCCAAGACCCCGGAATCTGCTGGATGAGTCCTTGTCTCCTCTAACTGCATCATCTGCTCTACTCTCCTATCCTCTGCTATCCCTCCTGACCTCGTCCTCCTCCTATCCCTGTCTCCCCGGCCTTCGCCTGAAGCTCCCCACTACATTTTCCCCCTCTGCAAATGTGTCCCTCCGGGGTCGCGTTCTACTCTAAGCTGGTTTTGCATCTGTCTCCCGTTCGTCATCGTCTTCCATATCATCCTCTTCTGACTCTAGATCGTCCTCCGATATTGTTCCTATCTCCAACTGCGTCTCCAAGGATTCATCTTCTTCATCTGTGCCTTCATCCTGTAGTGCTTCTTGTAGTGCCGCCAACGTGGTACCATTACGTGGGATGAACCTTTGAAGTCTTCACGCATGAAATAGGCTGTTGATGGAAAAGCCTTCTAAAGAAGTGAGAGTATAGGAGTTGCTAGTCTGAGAGACCACTCGCCTGGGTGCTGACCACTTCGGTACGAGTTTCCTCGAGCTTGCCATTGTCATGTCTGTAGTGTTTGCATAGACTTGGACTAGCTGCCCTGGTTTGAATATAACTTCTCCTGCACGTGACTGCAGAACTTTCTTATCAAAAACACTCTTCCATTTCATTGCATGCGCTGTTGCGTGGTTCACGCTGTCCAAGCGCTGTTGGTCCACATACACCATATGAATGTTCACTTCCGATATGGTTGGTTCAGCGCTTGCATCTGTGATTGCTGTAGGAATGGTGTTGACCACTAGTCCTAGGAGGTTTTCTTTTGGTGAAAATTTGAATGCTGGGATGATGCGTTCGTTGAGCTGTCGAATCACCGTATTGAAGTGGTCTGGCCACTTCCACGTCATGTCCTCTGCCTTCGCATTCTCGTTCTCATCCTCTCCTAATCCTGGACTGCACAATCTCCTCAGTCGTCCTAACAACTTCCCGTTGGTGTTCTCCACTAGACCGTTGATCCATGGTGAATAGGCCGCTATGACATGGTGTTTCACATTATGTGCTGAGCACCACGCGCATACATCTCCGTTGTCAAAATGCAACCCTCCATCCGTCATGAACATTTCCAGTGCTCTGAAACTGTGCGCGACTGCGTCTAGCCCTGCAATCATGGTCTTTGCATTGCCGTACATCTTCAGCTTGAATCCCCAAACATATTGAGAATATGTATCGAGGATAAGTAAGGCATTATGATATCCTCCTTTACTCTTAGGTAATGAGAGGTAGTCCGCGACCAGCAGCTTGAATGGATGTCATCTTGTGATGGGATACATTAGGGTGTGCAGATGGGTTGATCCGAAGTTCTTGCATTGCGGACAGTCAAGGATTGCCGTCATAATGGATCGGTCTAGTGATGGGCTTGCGATTCAATCCATGAGCTGTAGCTTGGTAAGGTCTCTTCCCCAATGCCCATTGTTAGCATGCTCTTCCTTTGCTAACTCTACTGCTTCCTTCTGCGTGACGCACTCCATTCACGCTCGTGCTTGAGTAGACTTGCCATCTGTGATACGCCATAGTCGTCCATCCTCGACTATGTATCCTAACGCTCTGTGTTGCGCTCATCTGCGTTCTCGCTCTGGTTTGTTGCCATCGAGGTTGAACAATGCCTCTATGATCTCCCGGAAGAGTGGTTCTTCTTTGAATCAGTCACATAATTCTGTTGCTAATGTCTCTGAAGTAGTGTCAGTCTGTTGTATGAGGAATAGGTCGTTCACCAGTCTGTGTTCTGCCTCCCAGTCTTCGCTCACTGACCACGCGCTACCATCTCCATCCTTCTGTGGTTGTCCCGATGCCCTTCAACTAAGAGCATCCGCTGCCGTGTTGCTTGCACCTGACCGATGTTGTACATCTGCAATTTGGTAAGCTATGATGCCATCTCGCCATCTGGCATGCACTATTGATGGCTTATCGTTCAATAATGTATCTCTCAATGCAATACAATCCGTCTCAATTTCGACCGGAAAGCCCCAAATAATTGATCCAAATTGATTGAACACATATTTTAATGCTGCGAATTCCAACAGGTAGGGCTTGTACCGTTCCTCTGTTGGTGATGTCCATTTTGACGTGAATGCAATTGGGTGAACTTTGGTAGTCGTTTCACCTGACGTTTCTTGAAACGGAAAACACTGTGCTAAGACTGCTCCGAAGCCATCTTTGCAGCCATCACTGATGACGATAAACGGTGTTCCGTCGAACATGGGTGCTTTGAGTACCAGTTCCATCAAGAGAATTTGCTTGAGCTTTACGAATGCGCGAGTGTGTCGTTGCTCCCAGAAGGTTTCAAGTTTGTGTTCTCTCAAAAACTGTCTATACTTATGTTTCCCTCCTTTCGTGCTGATTGGTGGTGCATCCAGGTTGCGTAACATGTCTGTGAGCGGTATTGCGATACGAGCGTAGTCTTTGATTAACGATCTGAAGTATCCTGTCAAGCCTAAAAAGCGCATCAATTCTAATAAATTTGACAGAACTGGCCACTCAGCGACTGTGGCAATCTTCATTAGATCTGGCCGTATGCCCTCCCATCCCACTCGCGCTCCCCCGAAAATGACTTCATTCATGAACAATTGTGTCTTTGTTGGCGATATTGACAGGTTCCGTTCTCGGCACCTGGTGAAAAACATGTGTAAGCGATCCAGTAATTCACTGAATACATTTCCCGCCATTGTGCCATTGTCGACATATAGCTCCATGAGTAGTTTGACTAGAATATCTGACAGGGCCAGTGCTGTAAGGTCGCTGAAGCATGATGGAGCTCCTTGCATGCCCATTGGCATTTGACGATACACTTCATATCCTCACCCTTCCGTGTAGAAACATAGGTATGGTTGACTGTCTTCCTCTACTGGTATCACATAGAAGCCAGCTGCAAAATCCAATACGCAAATATATTCGTGCCCTGCTAAATGTTGCTGCTTCGCTGTGATGTCCCCTTGTGGTGTTGGTGTGACTTGAGAGATTTTATTGACATCATTGAAGTTTTGACAGATATGCCATTTGACCTTTGGTGTATTGGTTTCCTTCAATTCTGGTTCTGCTGCTGATGCTGAGTCCATGTCAATATCTAAATCCGGTGGCTCACCGAGTGCGATACACTGCCCATTAACAACCCTCCGTATGTCCTCCATCGAAAGGCTTGTCCCTGAATGTGTTTTTTGTATGAGGACCATTGATGCGACGGCCTTGACTTCGTCCGATTTGATGAACCTTGTAATCCCTGCTTCCCGCATGTCGTCCAATACTGGGAACAGGTATTCTCATTGCAGTTTGGTTAACAGTCGTTGGTGTACTTTCTTTGAGAACGTAGCATCTGGTGGGATCTGTAGTCAAAACTCAATGAAATCTACTGGTTTCACCTCTCGTACTGATAGTGCGAAGATGTCTGCGAATTCTGCAATAAGTGCTTGAGTCTGTGCCCGTTGATCTTCCGTGAGGTGTTCTCCATAACAGACCGCGTTCACGATTGCTTCCACTCATGCTGGCCAGAACGGCCTGTGTTTGGTCAACCTAGTAAAGATATCTTTGGGTAGCATCGAGGTTGATGAGTCTAGTACATCACCTGCTGTAGGTACTTGTTCTATATCTTCCACTTCAAAAACTGATTGAGGAACTGAGTCCGATTGTGTTGCTTGATGAGGGTTGATGGTGAGCTTGTCCGTGTTCCTTTCGCTGATGGGTGCCTGTTGAATTGAAGTGTTAGTTGATGAATCGAGTTTATGTACGTCTATAGGTGATGGTATAGTAGATACATGTAATATATTATTATTGTTGTCATCGTTCTGCTTAAGTATAGACATTGAAGATGGTACGGTTTGATTGAAGGTGGTACTGGATGGGAAACGGATAGCTGTAGGTAAGCATGGAAGTGGTAACGGTCGAAATGTGGTGAAGTTCTAGATTCGATGGAAGTCATTACCATATGGGAGTAGTATGGCATCACTGCTATAATCATGTATTGCACGCACTTGCTCTAATAGTGGTTTTCCGATTAGCATGCACCACGATCCTCCACTAGGAAATACTTCGAAGGTTGTTTGAATATTGATCGGTCCCCAGGAGATTGTTCCCAACCATACACCGGTTGATGATACTAGAGAGCCATCAGCCATACGAAGCGTTCTGGAAGATGGACTTAGCGGGGATAATCTTCTTGTGATCCGCTGAAAGGCTGCCATGTCGATTGCGTTGATCATGGCGCCATTGTCGACTATGGCTAAGATTCGTATCTTCTCTCCCTGAGGTCCGTGCAGGTGAGGTACTGTGAGGAAGGGATTGCTCGTTTGAGTTCTGATTGCTTGCCCCGTGTCATCCAACAAATAAACATCAGTGATAGTATTGCTAGATATAGTGGAGAGCACAACCAAGTGCGCGTTTGTTGATAGATTCTCCGACGATGTTACTACGTCTGTAACTGAAGAAGAAAGATCTGTAGTCAAAGGGTTACTAACTGGTAGTAAGTTAGTTTGCGAGAGATGAGAAGGTAACTTGACAGGCATGGTAGGCGATCCTTTCTGAGTATGTACAATATTGAGCGCTTGCGGCGCTGTAGAGGATGAAAAAATGAAATGTTCTGGCTTCGTCGACATGGGTGATTGGTTGGTGGATGGACTCTGATCTTGTGGGACTACTGCTGGTCCATTGTTTACAGTGGTCCCCCATAGTTTTCCGAACTCCACTCATATCCCTGGTCCAAAACACCTGCTCCCTCATATGGTTCTCCCCAACCGAGTTCCCCCTGCAGCGCAATATGGTAGACTGGTGCGGACAGTGTGTTCCCTTGCGGTGGGAAGTAAGGATGGTTCGATGTGGTGACGTATTGAACTGGTGTGGGGTATGGAATTTGTAGTGTTTGCTGCTGGGTTGCTCGTCGCAATGGTCCTGCTACGTACTGACACCATCGAGTCTCATGTGGTCGTAGTTGACTCGTAGCCGTGCACTGCGAACTAAGGTGCGTCGGATCCGTGACCATTCCATGACTATAACACTCTCCCGATCCTAATATTGCTGTTCCCGGATGTAGGGGATATGGCCGTTCTAACGATTGAGCACTGTCCATACCATATGCTCTGTGCCATAGGCTGACATCTGCTTCATATTGCCGCATCCCAGGTTCTGTGTTAGGCCTTTGCGGCATTAGAGCCACCTTTTCTAGAATCTGGGAGCAAGACAGCTGTACTTGTGGGATAAATGTTCCCCTACTGTTGCTGTATGTTGGGTATCCACTGCGCGACGGTATTCCTACGTTCATTGATGGTAACATTGCTGGTGCTGCGGTGAATAATGATGGGTTGAGAGCATTTGGCATCCGTACAGGACCCCGGCTGCTCCCTATATCGCATGTCCACCGGTAGCACCCCACATGCCCTCAAAATGACCCATCCTATGTCCTAAATAGTGCACCCCACATGCCTGTGGGACCCACCCTATGTCCGTCAGTAGTGCCCCAAGAGAGACCCGCCTAGACTGACGACAAACCTCCAACTGACATTTGGTTTCCCTAAACAAGCACCGCTTCAAGTTGACTAGTATGCCGACAGTCCGACAAAGTGATCCACCATGTAGACCAATTTAGACTATGTCTTCTTGCTTAGTACTTGTACTGATTTTAATTCCTGAACTTCTAAGACGCACCCTGAAGAAAATGAAAACTCATTTTGGCACTACAGAAAGTCCACTGGACATTTACGGACACTCGTCAGTATCAAGGAACTCGTCTGGAACATCCATGCTCAGTGTCTGAGTCTCAGACGACCAGTATCACACTCTAAAACTGTGGGCTTTTGAACAACAAGTTTTTATTCTACAAAACACTTTTCTCTATAGATGGGAAACAGCTGGTATGGTGAAAGTGCATGAGATTATTGCATCACAGTTCACCATATGGCCTCGCAAAAGGCAGAACCGTGGGCGTACCTAGCTAGAATCCAAGCACGAAATTTTTGCAAAAAGTTTCCTTTTTTGGTTTGTTTCCGCGGAGAATTTCCTTTTTTGGTACCTAGCATGTCCGAAGTGCGCCCCACAAGCCTCAAAAGTGTTGCGCCCCAAGAGCAAAATTTAGAAAATTTGCAGATATGCGGTATAGGGAGCAGCCGGGGTCCTATCCGTACTGGTGCAGGGTGGTTCGTGGGTGATGCGTGCTGCAAGAATTGTTGTGGAGCAGGCAAGGGAAATGCTACGCTTTGCATCTTGAGTTTGGAGATCTCTATGTCCCTCGCTCGTTCCTTGTCTAAATTCTCGCGTCCTCGTTTGAGTTTGATGTTTGGCACGTCTTGTATGTCTTCCATGAACTCGTCCCATGAGTTGTAGATGCACTTGAGATGGTCTTTCAACAGGTCCGGGATGCCTTCTAATGCGTACTCAATCATTGCACCATCCATATCACCCATTCCCAGTGCCAATCATGAGATGTTGACCGCCCAGGTTACATGTGCATAGTTACCCGTCCTCCCTTCCTGCATCCAAACTCCAATTTTGTCTTCTTTCAACACTTGCGCCATGATGTGTTCCTTCTGTTGTGCTCGCGTGAGTTTAGGACACTTAGGAGGTGGCCAATGTTTGAAATACACCTACAGGGACTAGTTGCGGAAATATATGGCCAATGTTTGAAAAATTCAAGTTTGAGGTTGGCGAATGAGCTGAGGTGGTGGGACGTTAAGTTATGGTACCATTCTTCTGCGACTTCTCCTGGTGTTAGCTGCATGCCGAACCGTTGGACGTGCTGTGCATCTGTCCAAGATATAGGGAGTGATAGTTCAAATTGAGCGAACCACACTGATGGGTTCTCATTCTCCCCATAGTCACCATAGAAGAGTGGTACTGATTTCACAGTGTCTGGTGTGCCCATTGTCTGTGTTTTGCCTAAGGATGCCCATGGTTTGTTTGATTTCGAGGTCGTTATGGGAGGTGGTTTACGAAGTGCTGATGTCGTCTTCGCTACTGACTTACTTCTCAGTCTAGTAGGCGTAGTTGACAATAACGAGGTTTCAGTAGAATCTGAGGAGGGAATATTGTCTACCAGTGTGAAGCATGCTGGGTGAAGGCGAAATGCACCTCCGGTTTCTCCCGATGGTTTGTGTTCAACGTAGTGAGGCAGCGGCAGAGAAACACTATGTCTCCTTGGTGTTGTTGGTGCTCCTTCCAAGGGATTCGTTGGGGAAGAAGTAGGAGGAAGTACTGATAGTGTGCCTCTTCGCTGTAGGTGTCGCAACCGTGCACAGTCTTCAATTGAAATTTCACCTGATTCAGATTCCTGCTTTATTTCGTGGGTCACCTCCCCACTCTCATCACCATATGTCCTAGCCAGCCTTGCGCTCGGGAAAGGGTGAAGACAGTGTCATCGTCATCGTACATGGTATGATACCAGAGTGTGCTCCATGTGCTCCCAGACCCCAAGCCCCAAGACCCTGGAATCTGCCAGACGAGTCCTTGTCTCCTCTAACTGTGTCATCTGCTCTACTCTCCTATCCTCTGCTATCCCTCCTGACCTCATCCTCCTCCTATCCCTGTCCCCCCGGCCTTCACCTGAAGCTCCCCACTACAACGCCCCCTAACTCTCCTCGTCTTCATGAATACCTTCTGAGGGTGAGTGCTAATATTATGGGAGATCTGGTGATCTGACACTGTACAGCACGATGACAACCCCTCCCCACTGCCCCGTTTGATGAAAGCCTGGGTTGATAATATCATATATCGCTCATACATAGCACATCTTTTGCAGAAAGCAACGAGCCCCTACCTACCATGAAAGGCAACTGGTTCACACAAAAGGAGGCAAAGGCACCAGCCGCGCTCATGTCTGTTTTTCATATTCTAGACTTGAAGAAGCAGCGTGCCCAGATCGAAGTAGACATGCTGTATGATGCAATTGTACGTATCGCCGAGCTCGATGCCATGGATGATGATGGTAAGTGCTCAACTTTTGTTCTAATTTTATCACATTAAGAAGACTGTAGGTACATCTTTGGGAACAGCTGGGATCCTTGAGTCACATTTACCTGGTGATCGGTTCAATGATTGGTTTTCGACCCCATCCGCACCTTCCGATACCTCTGACATCCTATAATAATCTCACTTGTACTTTTACCACCTACTTGTAGCCTTTCTCCTTCCCTTTCAAAGTTGGTGGCACAGTTCCGCCATCTGTTGTATCAGTACCTCACATGAATTGGTTGTATGCTTGGACTTGATCTATGTTATTTTTACTACTCCTGTTCTACCTCTTTTTATTTATTTGACAAGCGCATTTTGACAAAAATGGTTGTGGCAGGATGCGCGCTCGTTCGCCCTGCAATGATTTATTTTGAAAATGTTTAAGTATTTGATAAGCAATACCTTGAAGTCATGTAAATAACCCCTATGTGCTCTCATATGACATAGGTGCATCAAAAGAATTGGACGGAATACTGGATACTAACAAGTCCACTCGCATTGTAATCATGGTCACAGGAAGAAACCATTCTCAACTTTTCCAGTGTGGGTGTCCATGTCCTGGCCACAGAAAGTAGGTCCTAAAGTGCAGGCCATCAATCTGGACATGTCAGCAGTAAGTTTTGTTCAAGACATTCCTCCACATACTGATGATTGGAGCAGAATGTGGTTGATCTAGTGCACAGTGGTATAGATCACTTGAGGTAGTCTTCGTCCAGATGAGTGGTGAATCATTCTCGTATGATGGTCGATCAGTTATCCTAAATTTTGATTTAGATAATCGCAAAAAAATTGATTCCGGACACCATCTGGTCCGCCATTGCTATCATGGACATTGGTCAGTTCAAAGCTCAAGTGTCCCGCGTGCCCTGGTTTACCCTTTTCTTGCGATTTTTAATACATGAGCATATCTACTGGCAAGGAACCATACTTTCAAAACCCATCTGTCACGATCCTCCTTTGCCGATCTATGAAGCTCATTTCACCATCTCCTCAACACGATCCTCCTTTGCCGATCTATGAAACTCATTTCACCATCTCCTCAAAGCCTCCTGAGCCTTCCGCCCCCTGCTGTCAGTCATGACCCTCCCTTTCCACTCCACGCTCGTCGTCTTCCAATCTTCCCCAATCCCCCCTTCCCTAGATTACGGACATCAGTGCAATCAAACACGAAAGCTGAAGTATGTACCGTTTGTTTCAAACTACTACCAGCCTCGATCTAACAATGACTCTTTGTAAACCGACAGCATTTGTCAGCCTCGCCTTCAAGCCGTTAGCCCCACAAGCCCACTGATCTCATTTTAGTACGATACTGAGATATTTGAAGTTACTTACAGCATTTTGTAGCCCCATAAGATTTACTGATTTGATGACAAGTGTACATTGAAGGAGATGGCAAAGTGTTACTAGTAGAGTCTGTAAATAGTAACTTCACAATTCTGTCTTGCCCTTCTGGGTGAAATGCTGTGAGAGGGACTTCAACTTCGTGCAACTCTCGCACTTGTTTCATCCTATTCTTTCTAACTCAACCCTACAGCCTCATGTAGAACCCACAGAAGTCAAGAAGAGCATCTTTGAGTCCAAACCTCTTAACCAAATTGCTGGGCTTGTCGACCGCCTTCTCCCTGTAGAGGCTTTACACCCGGTGATCACTATTCTGATGAGGGTTCCTTGGCTTGTTGACGCTCACCCCGGGTTGGCCGACCTAATTCTGGGAGTTTAAAGTATTCCATTTCTCCTCTATACGATGTGACACTTTTCCTCAAGGAACACAATCCGACTCTTACACAAACTCATGCACGGTTCAGCACTACTAGATCGCTGACAGTTCCAGTTTGCAAATATCAACCATCGTCAATAGCTCCCACTCTCTGAGTCAGCACTGTGTCAGTCAATTGTGTCTTTTTCTTTCCTAACTGGACTCAGCGCATCTCCAGGTCACTTTGCACTTCTTTTGATGACACCAATGAATTTGATTGGGCTGCATGAATCGCGCGAAACCTTGTTTGTCACAAAGATTACGAGGCTAGGCTCACAGCTGTTATCAACTGTAAGTCACTCGTTTGCTCGTCTAACCAGTCTTAACTCAATCAAACATAGATTCCCTTCAATCCAATTTTCAGAAAATCGTCAAGCGAACCCGACGCGAATTATCCTGTTTGACAGTTTTAGTCCAGCAACTTCAGCTCCGTCCGAGGTAAAACACACTTAAAGCAAGAAAATAATGTTCACAAGTTTATCTTTGCAGAGCTCATGGGTGTTACGAACTAGGATAGTTCTAACAGCAAAGGCTCAACAGAGCGTTCGTGTTGCTGAGATTCGTAAAGCTCTTCAAATAAGAAGAGGTTCATAGACTTAGTTAAAGGAGTGCTTTAACTAAGAGATCGATTCTGACGACTTAAGATTGGTGGTCTTAAGCAAAGGAAGTTCTGGGTGAAACCTAGTAAGATTGAAGTGATGTTCTAAGTAATAGTACACATGCTTAAATAGGAGACTATATGCGCACGGACCAAGGCTATGGTGGGATAGTAGTACAAGAGTCGAATATGGAAGTAAGATCAAAAAGAAGTCAAGACGAAAGAGGAAAGTAGTACATAATGGCGGAGTTATCTGAGAAGTAAAGTGGTTGTAACAGTGGGCACCGAATCTAAAAGCTCTTTTCGACCACATTGATAGATTTCTGAGGATCGTGCTCTTGATGTCATTGCATTGGGTAAGTCATGCTTCTATCGAGGTACTTGCGATATTCAAGACTTTACTAGTACAGGCCCGGTTTTACCTAACTTTCTAGCAACTTTCCATGTATGATCTGACGGCTCTGGCAGCCCCTTATGATGAAGAGTGCACTTTTTATGGACACTGAGCCATCAAGACTACTCCAAGTACATGCTAGCTGCTGACCATCACAGGATGAGAAGATCGTCAGTGAGCTTCCATCTGGCTAAATGAGACCAATACAATCTCGAGTGTTCACGATGAATCAATTTGTTCGAGAGAAGCATCATTGGTTCACCCACATAAGGACTTCATCTATTTCAACTTCTGACATCATTCTAGCCGAACATTACTCATCCGGGGTCCTAGCTTCTGCAACTATCGAGCATTGCATTCAATCGTGATGCCTCCTTTCGCCTACTGGTATGGATTCAGACTTTTGTGCACAATTCATCGAAGTTATGCACACGCAAGGGACTCCAGGATTCTCTACTCTCATGGTATATGACAAGGCATGTCCCTTTCACTCTGTAATTTACCGCATATTTACTTGGGGACTATGTAAAGATGGTTGTCTCTTCCCACAGCGAATACGCAAGAACTATGGTAAGTCATCTACATTTCATAATTATGGTCATCTGTAACCAGAGCACACCCTACCGAAGGACGCACCCAAACCCCAGCGGCCATCACCGTCGAGTTCTACCCCAGATGCGTGGGAACACCTACTACACTCACCACGCCCTACAACTACCAATACTGGACCGTGTTCTGGCACATTCAAGCAGGTCGTGTTCGTGACAGTGCGTCACGGTTTTCTTGTTTTTCATTGTATCAATCACATTAGTTTCACAGAATCTCACAGAATCATGCAGAAAAGAGTGAGACCTTGGTACTTCGGCAATATCACTTAGCCCCAGTGTCCCCGTTCTCACTGCAACACTTCTTCTTGCAGTTGTGCTACTACTAATAAAATGAATACGTATCTAAGTTGCACGGTCATCTAATGATATTTGTTTTGTGGTCAGCTACTAGCAGTTGTAATGTATGGAAGGTCCAATTGCCACGCTGTTGTCCCATCTAAAATACATGTCAATATTATATCTCCTTCGCATGGTCATATCTTCTTTCATATGTATGTGACAGCATGATAATATCAAAGCTGAACATATAATAATGAGTTTTCAGACCAGCCAATTATAAGGGTTGGAAGGTTCTGTTGTCACATTGTTGTCGGCCTATAATACATAAATCAAAATTATGTCTCCCTTGTGAAATTATATCTTCTGTCAGACATGTGATAATATCATATATTTCTAAAGCTTAAGATATCATGGTTTGTTTTGAGGCTAGCCAATTATAATGGTTGGAAGGTTCTGTCGACACACTGCTGTCAGCCTATAATACATATATCAAAATTATATCTCCCTTGCAAAATCATATCTTCTGTTGGATATGTGATAATTCTAAAGCTTAAGATATAATGATGTGTTTGGAGGTCAGCCGATTATAATGGTTGGAAGGTTCTGTTGTAACACAGCTGTCAATCTATAATATACACATCAAAATTATATTTCCCTTGCAAAATCATATCTTCTGTCGGACATATGATAATATTATATATTTCTAAAGCTTAAGATATCACGATTTGTTTTGAGGCTAGCCAATTATAATGGTTGGAAGGCTCTATTGTCACACTGCTGTTGGCCTATAATATGCATATCAAAATTATATCCCCCTTGTAAAATCATATCTTATGTTGTATAAATGTGATACCACGAGAAAGATATATAAATCCAAAACTAGATGTATAATAATGTTTTCTGTCGGTCACATGCATCTAGTCATAACAGATCCAGGTTGATTTCCTGATGTTCTCATGTACTGACACTGTCATGGACTCTGAGAATTTTTACCATACTATCCTTGACCTCTTGGATGATCCTGATGAAATTCAGGAAGTAACTGACCTGATGACGTGGTGGACTCGGTCCGTAACAGATTTCACATCTTGAAGCACTGAATCAACTCATCTACAGTCTGGTTTTCCAAATTTCTCCTGCTCACAGCGAAGTATCAGCCAAAACAGCACATTATCCAAAATTCGGGAAAAACGGGCTGCCCTTCGAGAACAAAACACTGCTTGTGCTAATTAGTTAATTTGTCATATTCTATAGTAATGTTGTAAAGCCTGTGAATCTCATGAATGTGATTATGAAATGACCGCAATCTCCAGTGTAGCGCCTTGAGTCCAAACTTGATGAATCTGATCAGAACCACTCTATGTAAGGCTGCCTATCTAAAGTCAGGCATGTATTGTCAAAATTCAGCAGTCAGGTATGGCATGATAGCCTATTCTCGCACCCTGGCACTATGTCAGTGGTGGTGGATTCCTCCACTGAAGGCTGCCTATCTATTCCTTAATCATTTGATCTGCAATTATGATAGATATTTTCAATATTGTGTATTAGGTAAAACAAGCTAAATCTTTGTCAAACTGGGGTCAAATGCCTGATGCTTTGCCTGATGCTTGAATGTCATAGCAAAAAATGTAGGAGATGGGTGGTATATATTATAATTCGTAGTTATATATAACAAGGATACCATGGCTCAATGGTAGTGATGCCATCTATGATGGCTAAAGTCATGCGTTCAATTCCTGTCATTGGTTAATTCTAAATGTGTGAAGGGTGGCACAGTGTCTCATGTGACTTGTGACATTCATCTCACAGTGGTAGGCAACGTGTATTTTTGTCATTGTTGAACAGAATTTCAGCACATTATTTCAGAGTAGAAATTCAGCGCAATATCACTGAAATTTCAGAGTAAAAATCGGAACTTTCAGCACCTTGTACTGTGAATTTCATTACATTATCACCTGATTTTCCCTAATGAATTTCATTGGATCTACTACCCACAGTGTGTATATGTATTTACTTACCCGCACCCATGAACCTAGCTTCAAGTTGCAGTGTATGATGAACCATGCTCAAGTTTCCCTAGCGCTTGCACGAACCACGTTCTATTACTATAACTTGAAGTGGCTGAATGATCAGCGCTGCCTTGAGGTCCGAGGATCGTGGTCAAAGGTGCTTAGGTACTTGTTGTTTAAACTTTGGTCCTCTTCTCTCTTCCCTCTAATTCTCGCATCCATTTCCTTAGGCTGATCCCAATTTTTTTCGCAATGAGCGAAGACCACAGGCAGGAACCTCCTCCAGAGGCCAATGAATCCAGAGAAGCAACTGTAACTGCTGGCGAGAGCTCAGTACGTGCCTCTATGATGAGATCGCTGTCGACAAGCGCTAATGGCATCGTCACTGCCTCTCACGCATCTTTCATCCAGAGCCAGCACCGTAGTGGCTGCGGTCTCGGTCAGGCCCTGCGGAAAGTGAAAAAGAATATGGCTAAAAAAGTTTCTGTACGTCTGCCTGAATGCTAAAGGAGCCAGAACATAGCTAATGTTGTGCAGAAACACTTCAAGCGTTCCCGCTGTCAAATCCCTACCGTCCAGAACGCCGATCATGAAGGTGCTTCATCAAATCAGGATATCGAGGTAAGTAGCCATTATATTGATCTTGGACTTGTCTGAGGGTCTACCAAAGGATGCATTGCGTCTGCATCCTTCCGATGGCGACAAGCCCGTCATATCTGAAAATATAAGTGGCTGTGTGAATGAAGGAGCGTCCGGAGAGCCTGCTTCGAAAGTATTTACGTCAAACGATCTATTTTTCTCATCTCTGAATTTTGATGGTCGTGCAGGTCCTCGACGCCCCTCTTGGCATGGAAGTCCCCAATCAATGGATGATGAACTTCGGGGTGCCCGTGAGGGTACGGAAAGTATGAGACTACTCGGGGGACACGTCACTTCGTCGTTATCCAAAGCCAAGGATGGGTCAAAAAATCTCGCTGCCGCAGACGATTTCCAGGCCACATATATTCAACCGCTCGAAATTCCCTTGCAAGATATACGTGAACGGTGGACAGACACCATCAAAGCAATCGAAAATCGCGAAGGAACCAAACTTTAATATCATAAAGAACTTCCTGTTCTTGGTCGTCATCTGTTCGGTGTCGGCGACCATCAACGGCGTCCTGGATGGGCTAACGGCCACAAGCACGTATATATATATGAGCAAGGCGTTGAACCCACCAGTTCCAATGCACTCAACGCACTCGTTACTTTCGTGTATGTCCCTGTAACATCATCTGAACGCTCGCTAACACTCTTTCAGGTCACGTCTCATCGCCTCTCAGACTCCTGGTCCTCTTGCTGCTGCGGCATTCCAAAGCAGCATGAGCGCCGTCGAAGAACTAAGGTTACTTAAGGCTCAGGTTCAAGATATCGCTCGTGTGTGCAATGCTGTGGCCAAGGGTGACTTGTCCCAGAAAATTACGGTTCCTGCGCAGGGTGTGGTCATGGTTCAATTGAAGGACGTCATAAACACTATGGTAATCATCCAGAATCTTATTGCAAGGTCTTACTCATGCATATCATCGTCAGGTCGACAAATTGGGATAGTTTTCCAAAGAAGTCACTCGTGTCAGTCAAGAAGTTGGTACATAACGGTAAACTTAAAACAGAATATTGAGATCCAGATCAAAGGCGAGATGTCAACGTTGAAGGGCACTGTCAATTTCATGCTGGACCAGCTAAGCGCCTTCGCATCCGAAGTCACTCATGTCGCGCTTGAAGTCGGTACGCAAGGTATATTGGGTGGTCAGGCTCGCGTAGAAGGTGAGCAAGGTACCTGGGCTGACTTGACACGCAATGTGAACGTGAGTCATATGAACAGTTTTCTAGTCTCGTCAGTGTCGCTGATATGCCGTGGCACAGAAAATGGCTAGCAATCTGACTAACCAAGTACGATCGATCTCGGAGGTCACAAAAGCTGTTGCCTTGGGCGATCTAAGCAAAGTCGTCAACGTCGATGTGCAGGGAGAAATGCTAGATTTGAAGATGACTGTCAATTCTATGGTTGTCCAATTGTCTACGCTCGCTAACGAAATCACTCGTGTGTCTTTGGAAGTCGGTACGGAAGGTATCTTGGGTGTACATCATATAGGAGATCGTATGTGTCTGACCCACGCGCATTGTATCACATTGTCGTCAAAGACCAGCACATCTTTGAAGAGCCCAACCAATTCATCGTGTCAGTATTCTCCTACTTTCTTATACTCAATTAACTCGGTACTATGAAGGTCAAACAAACTTGTTTTCGGTGAAGGCCTGATATCCACCATCGGTGCGGTACATTTCTTTCAAAATTCTATGTAGAGACAGCGATTCAATGACGTCGATGATGGATATCATGCGTGAGTTCCTTGGGTAATCCAGAACATCCTCGCTCAAGTATATTGCACAGTAAAGGCCAATGCGGTATCATCATACACAGAACGGTTTACAGATGCTGATTTATTGGGACAAATGAAGTAGGTCTTAACGTTCTTCCGCGTGTTAAAGGCATCCATCAATATCGTTGCAGCGTCATGGTATTTGCCGGCCTCGATACGACCACCTCTGCCCTTGCCCGCTGTATCTATTTGCTTGCGCAACACTCCGGCGCTCAAGCGAGACTCGGGAGCGAGATCCGTGACGCCACTAAGATACTTGAGAATTGATTCTGTGGGATTAAATAGTTTAGTTTTGATAATATATATCCATATTGAATGTATCAACGAAAAAATGACCACGGACAGACCGATTAAGCAGGGTTCTGAAAGCGAGGACAAATATCTGCTCGCAGTATTTCAATATTTTATTGTACACGATACATGAATGGGGGTACTACAGTGACTCAATTTGAACGCCAAGACAATGTAAGAGAAAACAAATGCGGTGAAAAAGAGAAGCAATCACACGGTAGATATAGAGCCTTGAGGCACGCTAATTACTTAAAAACGAAAAATAATATTAGAGAATTCAAAATGTTGTGAAGGAGGACTAGAACTTACAGAGGCTGGACCAGGCCTAGATCTCTTTCTCCGCGTGGCAGATCCGGAAGATGCTGCCTGGACCCCGCGCCTCTTAATCAAGGCCTCGTGCCACGCGGCGTAGCGCGCGTAGCCAGTTTGCCTTGCAGCGTTCCGTAGATGGAAATATACGTTGTCCCAGTCCATAGGTGAGCTAGGAGGTGTCCACGCACGAACGGCCTCGAGAGGGTCACTGTCATATGTAAATACCATGTCTTGTACGACAAATTTAAGAGACTTACCTGGCGTCGGATTCCTGAGCGATGCTGAACTCGTCCTCTTCCTCGGCACGGGCGTCCTCACCTTCACCGTCCTCATCACCCTCGTCCTCGTCCTCTTCCTCGTCCTCTTCCTCGTCCTCTTCGTCCTCTTCACCTGAATCATCGCTCTCTTCCCCCAATATCACATCGAGGTGGAACAGCGTCCGATCTCTCACCTTCACTAGTGCGCGAGCGATCATATTTTGCACGGCTTCAAGGCCGTCATCATCGATCTCAGGACTTAAGCGCTGAAATTAAGGTAAGGTCGCATTCCAATTGAGACTGGAGGCGAAACTCACCGCGACTGCAAAATGGGTAGGATTATTATCCAGCATGTGGAAGTCTCCGTCATCGTGACGAAGCCAGACCTTTATCGCGATCGTGAGAGGCGCTACCCAAGTGTAATTAAACGCCGTCACTGCGGCAAAGACAGGGTTGTCGCGCCTACGAAGCCACTTGCGATAATCGACCACCCGGTTCCCAGTCCTCTGTCCGATCTCTTTAGAAATTGTCGAGGACGGTGATGGCGCATGATAGCGTTCCTGTTCTGCAATCGACAGGAGCGTGATAACCTGTACGTCCTTACTTAGATTAGCATTACGTTGCAGTTTTGAAAGGGCGTCGTATTCTGCTTGTGAAAAAGTGATCTCTGTATCCCAGAGTTGTAAACGTCCACCATCAGCGTCGTGGAACTCCACGAGCGAGTCTGGGATGCCGAGGGGTTTTTGCGTGGACCCGCCTACTCCAAGCCCCATGAGCGTGGAGTTCATCTGGGTGAGGAACGTGCCAAAGGACAAATCGATGCCCATGGACGTAAGCGCCGCGTCGATGGAGGTACGCAGAGGCGCGAGGACGTTCTCGTGGATGGCGGTAGGCAGGATTACGAGTTTCTGGGATGATGAAGTGAATAGTTTTCGGCGGGAAAGAGCTGTAGATGACTATGAAATAGTACGTATTACTTACTTGTAGTGTCCTCTTCGGCGATCGCCCCCAAGATAACATCGCAATCTTGAATGCGAAAAAACGTGCCGGTTGTTGAGATTGTCGTGGGAGACACGAGTCACGCTTTAGGGAGACGTGTTCTCGGAGTGAGGCTCGGGAGAACGTCGTGTTGAAATACAATTTGAATTTAGCGTACTCGCAATCGTATGTCCAAGGCCCACCCACCCAACGCTTTCGAGGTCAGTACTCAGTGAAAACGTCCAAGGCTTGGGTCTTACCATACCATTGGTCTCAGATAACCTTCGCAACGACACGAAGTACATTACATCGTGGACTTCAGCAGGATAGAGTACGTTAAGTCCAGCCAAACACCGCTTTGAACCACTGATGACAGTTATTTGTTAGCGAACGACGTGATAACCTATGTAAGTCAACGATTTGCTTCCGACGGCGTCCCGGTTCCTCACAAAGACTAGGGCAATTTAATATATCTCGCTCTCATAACGGAGCGTACACCCATAATCCCAAAGTTCCTCTCTAATATCGACTCAAGCGCACCTCTATTTTGTTTTCCGGGAAGTACTTAACGTCCTCGATTCAGTCAAGCCGTAGGGATTCACTTGCTCCAATGGCACGAAGTCAAGGATCCAGGAAGTCAGGTTGTCGAAGATCCTGGTTGTTGGACTGTCTGGGAAACCATTCAACAGCACATTAACCCGAACCATGACGAATTCCCTCCCTGAACCTGCTCAAGCTCGGTGAGACAACTTCGAACATCCCTCTTCGGTGACTAAACGTGTGGCCATCACAGATATCTCGTGGACGCGAACCGCCTTTTGGTCTCTTGCATCACTCGGGTTTCCAGAGACTTCCTCGAAAAGCCTGGAATTATCATTAACGAATCGTCCTTCTCCTCAGCACTAGGTTCCCCTTCCTCCGGACGATCATGTATGATGCTTCGTTCTCCTTTACTACACAAGCGCCCATCATACATGGGAATGGGTTTTCCTGCAAGGAAATTTGTAGGCCAACACATGCGATGGACTGCAAGCATGGAAAAGATTGCCAATGCGCATGCCCGGCGTGCTATGAATGTGCCAGTCGACGAACCAGTACCTCCCGTGAGTGGAATTTTCGGGTATAGGCTGATCCGCACATTTACCAACTTTCCATAGTATATAACCGTTCACATACGGCATGGTGACTTCCGCGATCAGCGTCGTGGCGTTCCTTTGGATAAGTGCTTTGCCTCCCTGTCTATCATTGCGCGCAGGGTATCCGAGGTGCAAGAGGAACTTCGTACGCAAAAAGAGTTCGAGGTCACGCATGTTATCATGGCGAGTGATGAGTCTGACCCGGAATGGTGGTCAGATGTTAGGGCGTTGGGTCGGACGTGGGTCTCCTCATGGGGAAACGTTACTAGCTCTTGGGCAGAGCGGTGTATCTGCGTTCCCTCACCGCGTAGTTGTCATGCAGTTCTTTGAAACCATGGCCCGTTATGGAGATTTCTTTAAGATCTGCAAAGAGTGCATTGTGCCTACACTCGAGGCCATTGTTGATACTCGGTAGGCATGAAGCAAATTGTGATGGTGCTACAGCGCTGATACACATGGTTGAGACTCCACAACCCAGACAGCACAGTTCGATCGCGGACTCGGCAATGTTGCGAAAGGATTTCCAGATTATCCTTCTCCGGCACCTGTGGGATATTGTCTTCCATCGTTAGACGTGTTTCGGCAGGTTGCGCAGGCAATTTTATCATGTCCGGAAGCCATGGACGTTTTCAAAGACGTCCGCGACGCAGTAAGTCGGCGTTTTGTTCTTGGCACATCCCAGGCTAATCATCTGCAGACACGACATGCATTTGCGCGAATCATTGCCACGACAGGATCCAGCGTTACCCACTTGATCCTGCCTTTGAAGGCGAACCTTCTTGCACAGTTCTAATCCTCTGAGCTCGTTGACTTCATGAACTTCATTGGATTGCTGATTCACAAGCTTCAGGTGAGGATTGCGCTAACTTATGCGTTCATAACTGACTTCATGCTAACAGGGCGAGCTTTTTAATGTTCTGGACGAGCTCATTGGACCTCTAAGCGCTCACATCACCCACTCTCTCAACCAGCCCGTTACAGGTGCTGACGACAGCGTCGAACATGCAGAAACCAAGCGTGCTTATCTGACGTTGTTGACCAACGTCATGTCCTCCGATCTTCACGACATCTTTATCTCTGATATCAGGCGTAACAAATAATACATAAGTAGGTATACAGGTATCGTCCAATAGTAAGCAAGCAGAAAACACACGGAAAGTCAGCGCGTATCAATAGATATACGAATATATATTTCTTCAAACAGGGTCCGTCGCCCTGGGTATCACAACAGTCGGTTCTGGTCTAGTGCTTCTAGCGCCGCATTCGTCCTCACGTGAAGTGCGTTCTGTAATGATGAGAGCGTAAGTGTCAAGTCACATTCGTTCACTCCTATTTTCGTACCTCTAAACTGTATTTACCCTGAAAAAGTGACATACATCAGCGACATGATTAAATAGCAAACGCATCCGTACCTTTCGTCCCGCAGCATTCACCTCAAGCAGCTTTCCAGACAAAACAAGATTAAAATGCGTCCTCGCACCGTCCTTGTCGCCTGATCGCGCTAGCAACCTACCATACTCGAAATCTATAATAAAAGTGTCGGCAATGTCTCACCAAATGACAGAACAAGACCGACTCACGTGCGTAATACACGATATAATGGTCCAACTCGATGTCAGGTCCGTGCTCGAAGACAGCGCGGAACGCGCGCTCCTAATACGTGCGCGCATCCTCTGGCGAGACAGGGATCTTTCATCAGGCTCGAGTTCAGCATCCGGGTCCTGTAACGAGAGGGATGTGTGTCAACAAGGATAGACTCCCAGAGCGAAGAGGAAGACCCCAAAGGCACAAACACAAAAGCTACCACAAAAAAGCCTCACCCTCAGATGAAAGCGCTAACCCCGGTTCTCTCAAAGCATCACCAACAGCAGGAATCATCTCCCTCACAATAACCTCCCTGGGCGCATGCGCAATCGCATGGAATACATAAGCTAGCTCTAGGGCTGGGAGGAGAAGTGTGTCGGATTGGGCTAGATATTTACGGGCTTTGCGGGCGACGAATTTCTGTGTGTTTTGGGAGTTGAGTTGTTTTGAGGTGGATAGCGAGATGAAAGGGAGGAGACATCAAAACAAGGACGTACCTCGATAGGAATGCTCTTCCCCGCGATTTTCTGCCTCAGCCCCTGGACGCGTTCCATACGCTTCTTCACTTCTGCGTGCTTGCCGAGCGTGGCTAGGCATGCTGCTTCGCCACATGTATATGTCGCTTTGGACCACTAAGTGCACCGAGGTGGTGATAACCGTTCACCAAGGTAGCATATAGAGGGTATCTAGTCGGCCGCCAGTTCCGTACGGCACGTATGAGTGTGAGGGAGACCAGTCCTGGGGAGAGCGTTGGTCAGCGTGCATTTATAATGTATGTCGGTTCCCGACGATGTGTACCCAGTCGAAACACAAACAAGAGAATGAACGGCAGGTATAATTGGATACTGCTTGAAGTCCGGTAACAACCTGTGATGCCTGTGATGCCCAGGATCGCGCTAGTTGAAACTGGAGTGGAGTGAATACGTGCGAATGCTAATGGGGGAAGATGAGAGCACAGACAATATTGAGAAGTGGCAATAGCACTAAACCAGATGCCGATGAATGGCCTGACCAAGTTAACGATCACACGCTTGGGTGTGGTGAGGGCACGAGACTCACAAAAAAGGTCGACGGCATAGCTACGAGTACGATTCTATTGTTGCTGCAGAGTGCATATGTTCTGAGCACAAAAAAGCCTGGACGAATTGCATGAGGAGCACGTTTGTATCGCGAGGCAGGAGAAATACATTCAGAGCAAGTGAGTGATATCACTGCAAAACCTAAGTGTGGAAATAATAGCGCTCAGTAAGAACGCGTGTGTAGTATGTGCCATACACGCACATGAGTAAATAGTGATGAACATCTTGCATGCCTAGCCAGGTCATGCAGTAAGTGTCGTCATCAGTGGAAGTCTGCTGCACGTTCACATACCTTGGAGTTCTCATTCGGTGTCAAGGTCATTAACCACAGCATGTCAATTCAGTATCGGGGGATGTGTGCTGGAAACGAACGCACGACATATGTCCGCAGCGATGAGGAAAAAGGGTACGTATCGTGCAGTGACGTAGAGGCATTTTACCTTGGTCCAGCGCGACCGAAGTAGGAATGTCCACTTTGAACAGATTATTTCAATATCCAAACCAAGGCATCCCGTGGAACAAGCACATTACTTGCCTCGTCGTGAAGTGAACAAATATAGTCATAGGTCTGGATTAACAGGTTTGATGGTGGACAGGAATAGATCAGGACAAGCGTATCCAGAATGTAATCAATGCCGCTTAGTCGTCACGTTAGAGTCAGAACGAAGATATTCAGACAGCGCGCACTGCATATGTACTAGTGGCCACCCATGGTGTATCAGTTATTATCTTGTTATTGATATTAAGGAAGCGACAAACCGCCAAGTACTGCAAAATCCTGGTTGCTGCAATATCGTCAGCCGAATACTCCATCTACATTCGTTTGAGAGGTGGCTTAAGAAGATGGGTTTTACGCCCACAGCATGCACCTTGCTATCTCTTATGAGTAACCCGGAACTAGCCAGGAATCGATCAACGTGGTGGCGGTAGCGTGCTCAGAGGCGCAAACGCAAAAAAACGCTACTATATATGGTTAGGTTGAATCAACTGTCTCAAAGAAGGTGCTACTTACTTCCAGACCTCTGTTACGAATTGCACAGGCTCATACCAGAAACTAGCATGGAAGAACTCAGGCTTAGTTCGAAAGACTGACGGAAAACCTTGTCGTAAGCCAGAGAAGGTTATTCGAAATGTTAAGGCGCTCGGGGAATAAAAGACAACCGTGGAAGGAACCATGCACTGATCAAGAAATGATTGTGGGGGGCCCTTGTTTTCGTACCATCACCATGGACGAATCTTCCCACGCTTAAAAACGCGGGCAAGGTAGAGCAGTCATAGCTCACAGAACCAACTGGCCATATACTAAATCAATCTATAACATATAGTGTTGCCGCAGCTCTGGCTTGTGGCCGGCTTTAGCCGAGAGCGGAGCTATAATTAGGTTAGCTGTGTACCAAATTAAGCTTATGTAATACGTGGCTCGGTCCGGTCATTTGAGCCGTTTCATAGGCCTTCAAGCCAGCTCCAGCCACATTTAAAATTAGAATAGATATATGATATATTTGTATTGATTTATAAATAGTAAATACATTAAGTGACAATAATAGCGAAGGCCCAAGGCCCAGGGCCTAGGTTCCAAATTAGGCAGCGCTAACGTCTGTCTACAACACACGCTAGAATCTAAACTTGTATCCGATATCGACAATCGTCATTCGATATGGGCCCCCAAGTCGATGTAAGTCAATGTTTTGATCCGATGTTCGAAAAACTTACCCGATTTAGCTGTATGGTAGCGTGGATCACGCTCGCAGGATCCGGGCGGAGGAAGCAGAGATAAGGGCTTTGCGAAGCCGAAGATTATTGCAAATGAGGGAGAGAAGAAACGTCAAGGGAGTTGAGGGAGTCGAGGGAGCAGTGGGCGAAGGGCCGGTGAAGAGATGGGTGAAAAGGGCGTTGAGAAAGCTTCGTTTGAGCCGGGGGTAGCGTGATGTCAAGAGCAGACGTACCAAGTAGATTGACGCTTTGGGAGTGTCTTTTAGTCCGCAGAGCTTCCGCCCTTGATCGTTTGAAGACATTAGGTACACAGACAAAGAGAAGCTTGCAGAAAGTTTATCGCATACGTTCGAGGTCTTCACAAGAATATAGTTGAGGTCAAACATAGCAGTGAAGTCGTGGCCGTTCAAGATTACCTCCTGGACATGATGAGCATTCCCCACAATTCGGACAGACTGCGTACATACCACATTCTTGATGCGGTTATACAGCACTTCAAATGCCTCATCCCACACATACAGCGCGTACCACAAGATTGCCAGAAAGAAAAAGGTTGGATCTTCAGATGCCTTGAATATTTTATTCCAGTAAACACTTCCACCTGCGCGTGCCATAACCTGATGCAAGCGCTCGGCAGTAGTGCAATCATGCAGCACAGGATGATACGATATGATTGTAGCGGAATCCTTGCTTCGAATCATATGAATTGCCAGAAGATCGATGAGAAGGTCATGGACATGTTCGCCTATGAAAGGACTCAGACAAAACTGTGCGGTAAAAGCAAGTGCGAATTACCGTTGTCTAACTGAAGGGGTAGCATGACATCTATGGTATCTTTCCTATTCCGTTCTGTATGTTTTGTGATGAGAAACGGTCGACTATCGAACAAATGACAAACTCATACCGGATAAGCTAGGAGTTAATTGTGGCTTCCTTTTCTTCCCCGTGGTCCGAATAAAAGGGAGGATAACTGTGATATCTACCCGGAATAACAGGTTAGCAACCTCTGGACCAAAAGGCAGTCATCAAACGTACGATCCCCCTCTCCATGTTGAACGTCTTCCCGGTATCACGAGGGTATCCAGTTTGTGGAGGATGAAAAGAAAAATGGCTCGATGTTATACCTAAAAAAGGAAATTTCAGTGCCGAAGTTGAAGCCTGCCAAGGAGTACGAACTTTGTCCCCAGCATCTTCAAAACGGATTCCGACAAATTGTCCACGAACAACGCTCTGACGGAAACGTTTTCCCGAACCTGATTGTCACTCATTAACAGGCTTGGTGAGATGGGGTAAGCACGGTACTTTCCTCCTCCTTTAATTTTGACCAAAGTTTGTCTTCATTCTCAACGCGATGCAGCTCAAGTGTTTTGAATTGACCGTCATTCATTACGTCAATGCCATATATGATGCATGGTAATAAACACACTTACCCCCTGAAAAATGCTTCATCGTTATTGCGGCTACCACTATATTGACAATACCAACAGCCAGGAAGGCGAATTGTCATTACAGCGACATTCCCATTCCTGCGCTGGACACCAAAGTCTGTGTGGATAATGGACTCCAATTTCAGCCTTTCGACACAACCACAGGTGCATGGGTGGCAGACGTACTGCTATGATGGGATGCCACCAAGTTGTGTTCCTGGAAACGCGGGAGCTCCGAAACGCAGACAACACCTAATGATTGCTCAGTTATCGATGATACCAACAAAAATACATCATTGCACTTACTGAACCACACACTGCTCCCACTCCTCTGGCAGCCGCTTCTCCACAAACTCCAAAGTCTCCCAAGTCTAAACCGCCAAAGGTGAAGGGCCAGCGTGTTCCCAAGCAGCCTACTGCATCTCCCTCTGAACCCCCAGCGAGCATAAGCCCTCAAGTTTTGTACGATGAGCCCAACCTCCTCAGGAGTCTGGACGCATCCGATCACGCAATTTGAGGCATCCCAGCGCCTGATGTTAGGTCTCTCAGAGACAAGTGGAATCGTCGTGTAGTACATCGTCGGGGCGGAAATCTGCGAATGCCAGTCAGAAAGTGAGCCTAAGATATGAATGAGAGCCTCACAATAGTCATAGGGAGCACTCACAGGGTATCCAATGATGGGGATATAGTGGCAATAGGCACTCTCTGGTACGGGCAAGATAATGCCCAAACGGAACCTTCAAAATCCTCGACAACCTAGCTTCACCTGAGGAGAAGGGCGATCCTTGAGCTCAACATATATCAAGAATCTTACCCAGTAGTGAACTGACGAATATCCGGATTGCCTAGACGAGGAGACTGTCAGATAACAACTGAAATTCAATATGCAAACACAATGCAAGAAGAATCATAAGGTGCGTGATGGTAAACAAAAAGTGAGAAACAAAAATAAAAGATCAAGGAGATGTCAGGTATCATAGACGACAACCTCGTTGTCGATGTCATCGCACTCATGCTCTGCGATGGCTTTGAGAACAGCGTCATATGCATGGCTGTCATCTGTAGGTCCATTTGAGACAGGTCCCAAAAGCTCATCGGAGCTATTGTCAGATACCATTGCAGTTTCCATGGCCCATTGCGATGCTGCCCAACCTTTCGTGAAATTAAGTCGCTCTTTTTTAAAGGAAAACTTCACCATCTGTAGCGCCTCCATGAGGATCGGGCTGATGCAGTTACGCCTCTTTGTGTATGTTTCGCTGCTCGATGAGAACACTCGCTCACAGGGAACAGCAGATGCCTGGATTGGGAGGTAGTCCATAGCAACGGCGTAAACCGTTGGGAACATCCCCTCAGACATCTGGTCAAAATCGCGTGGTCAACAACAAAATACGTCACTGGACGGAGATGACTCTCACCTGCCAGAAGGAGAGTATATTTGTTCCCTTGGGGCTGATATTAGCTGTGCTATAAGCCCCAAACTCCTGATCGATTGTCTGGACGATATCATCGCAAACCGGCAGTGCATCCCCCTCACGAAGTCCGTAGATACGGGAGCCTAGCGTGCGTGATTGTAGTCTTGAGGGTCATTGGGTTGGAGCCGGTATATTGGAGGTCCGCTGTGCTCTCTTGACATGCATCTACAGGACATATGAGCACATGCTGTTGCTAGCTAGATAGACGTACTAGTTTGAGAATGAATTCCTTGGCTGACTTTACCCGGTTCTCATCCCAATGATCTGTAGCCCATGACATTTGGCATGTGGGATCAACAACTATAAACCGATCATAAGACATCAAATTTGATAAAAATGCGAGGGACTGACACATCGCAACGGCATATGCATTTGTGCAGGACATCCTGTCGTCATACTTCTCCGCCCAAGTCAAGCCAATGTTGATGAGTGGTGCACAGTGCGGGGCGCTATTGGCCACCTGCTTCCAATCCTCAAGCAAGCTTTCGAATGCTGGAACCGTACGACCCAACATGGGAGTGCTCTCGCTCGACATGGATTGCTGAGCTCTGTGGGGGGGCTGAAATCACAAGGTTAAATGCAATGTAGGTTATGAAGATGTCAATACTGACCTCCAGAATTACTTCGAAGTCCTGTAGGAAGTGCCATTCTATTGGACTTAACTTTTTGTCGTATATAGAGCGTTGATTGGGAAACTCGAAGAACATATCAACCGCCTGGGCAATGGTTAGCCCACCACAAATATTCAGTGAGATGAAACCTCACCTGACGTAGATTGCATAGACGATTGAGCATAACATAAACCGAATCCCAGCGGGTTGGCTCATCGAGCAGGAGTTTGACTGTAGGGAGCTTTATAGGCTCGCCTGTGTCTCCTCGGAACCAATCGTTTTCATTACCTATCACGATGGTATCCCTAAAAGTCGAACATCGTTGGTTTGATGCACAAATGGAACGCACAAGATTTCTGGCCTGTTCGAGAGCTTTACTGGTGATGGCGCCAACATACTCATTCTTGTCGACAATCTGACCACAAACATTCCAGGTATTCTCCACGGATGAGAAATCTGCTGTCGCATAGTCGTCAACAATATGTTTCACGCAAATGCCGATCATGTGTGGAAAACAAGGAATTCTGTTTTTGATTGGATCATATTTGATCTTGCGTTCTTCGAGTAAGTTTGAGAGCTCCTTCATGCATGTTTGATTGTTTGCTGCGTTGTCCAAAGTGAAGTGTCCAGGCTAAACGAAGTCAGAGCACATCATATGGTACAGCTGAACACTCACATCCTTTGCAACATCAGCACGATCAAGGAGATGCAGTATTACTGATCCAAGAGATTTGCCGGTATGACTTCCTGGAACATGGTGAAACGCAATCAAGGCTGCCTTCAAGACGAGCACTGATGTCTGCTCTTCCTTGGCAATCCAGTGAGCGGTGAGTGCCATGAAGGGGCGGAGTTTCTGATCAGACCAGAGGTCAGATGTAAAGAATATTTTTCCTTGCGCCCTCTGTAAATACATAAGATGTATGGTGGGATTCTTGATAACTAGACACTCACGGCAAGATCACCTTTCAACACCTGGAAATACTCCTGCCACACAATGATTATGAGCTCACGAAGTTTTGTGCGGTGGGGAATGTCTGAATCGGTCAAATCCCTCCGCAAAAAATGTATCAGGCGTCGAAACTCCACACATTCGATAACAATTATTGCCTGCAGAAAATGAATTAGCAAGGGCACGTAGAAAGTAAATATCAACTTGCCTGATCGTCCGCAACTATGAATTTCACCAACTGACGGTGCATCTCATTGATGCTGAAATCTGGGATATAATTGTCCGGAGATAAGGTGGTTCCAGGCGGAAAATTGCCGTGTCCCTGATTAGGGATGGTACCGAGTGACTCAATGTGATATGCAGGGTCCCGGAGCCTTTCACGGATAGCTGCCAAAGTCCACCCTTCAGCAAGTCGCTCATTGAGTGGCTGTACGTAGATAGGCCAGCGTAGGCGCTCCGCCTCTTGCAGGAAAACGTCAGTGTGGTGATAGAAAGCATGAGTACGACGGGCAGAAGTGCCGGTTGAGTGCTTATACGACATAACCTGGTGTGAACTGTCCATCTCCTGCAACTCCCTGGACAAGGCCGTAAGAAAGAACAAAATAATTGCAGACGCAAAACTCACTCGCAGATTCGGCAAATCTTGCGTTTAGTAGCTGAATCTTCCCTGAAGAAGTAATTGACATCTGCAGTGCTTTTAGGCTGTGTTCCTCGGACACCCGTAGCCAAGGGATCGACTTGGGTTGAGTAGATGGTACTAGTGACTGTCTGCAGAGGGCTGGGAACTGGAGGAGCCCTAACGCTGGGTGCAGGCAAGTTATCTTCTTCATCCCCGGAGACATTGCCAATGTCAATGTATTCTCCATCATCTGGCGTGCGACTAGTGCCAGTACGAACTGGGCTATTATTGCGGAACCTCAGGGGCAGTTGCCGTTGCCATTGAGGGTGTTGAAGCATAGTTACATTTAATGCAACAGCGGCAGCGATGGGTGCAACAGTAGCAGCGATGGGCGCAACAGTGGCAGCGATGGGCGCAATAGTGGCAGTGATGGGAGTAACAATGGGGGTAGCATCAATTGGAGCAGCGGCAGTAGGAGTTACAGCAGCATGAGTAGGCACAGTGGTAACTTGAGACTTCTGCCCTCGTCGATGAGGAGGCATGTTTGAGTGACAGTAAAGATTCAAAGACACAGTCTTTATGTATCTTCGTCAGGGGAAACAGCGGGGAAACACCAGTGCTGAGTCAACTAATGACAAATCCAACGTGTACGCACAAGCGAAGGTCTGAACAACATTATTAATTGTGATATGACACCAGGGGGACAACTGAATGTATGCACAGGGTACGTACCGTAAGATCTTGTTCATTCAAGTGGTCCTAGGCAGCACAATATATGTGTGGGGTTTCCCCAATGCCCACTACCTTACCCAATGAGAGGGATACCAATGCCATAAGACGTGCATTCTGATGTATCCTAGATCTCGCAATCAGTTGGTTATATTGAGCACAGTACAGCTTACCTACATCCGCAGAGTCAACTGGCTGTCCAGAAGCCAGATTGCAATATAGCAAGGACATCCAGCGAAAGGGACATCTCATGTTTGCCAGGGTTTGCCATGGTTGTCAGGGTGGGTGGTTTGACGGTCACTGAACACGTGTTTCAAATATCAACCAATGGGTCAAGCGAGTTAATGCTTACCTTCATTCCAGGAGTCGATGACTGATTGATTGAGCATTTAATACAGTGCAAGGGGATTGGGGTGTTTGTGGAAAATCCCCCATGTGTCATCCAGGAGGTTGGTCATGATGGTGAATGATTCAATAAGGTGAAACTTGTAGATGTTGGGACTCAGACTTCAGGAGTAAGGTACAGGTGTCCAGGACAAGTTTTTTTTTGTAGCAGGCTGACCGATTTGCAGAAAAACAGCACTTGCAAGTTGCAAGGAGGACGGGCAAGGAGATGGTAGGGTGGGAAAAAGATAAGAAGCTGCGTGACTCAGCGTGGAGTCGGCCCTCGGGAGTCAGGACTCAGGAATCAGGCCTAGAATTAAGAGGCCTAGAATCAAGATGATCAAATTTGTTGACATGTGTTTGACCACATTGAACGGTTTGAAACCTATGAGAAACACATTGTTACAAGACTTGTACGCTGTACGGTTATGTAGAGATAGAAAGACATATTCAACAGCGTGATCCAGCAACTAATGGCTTTTTCCGCAGTGCAGTTGGGTGCATGGGAGAGGCAGCACGTTGGTGTGAACTTCAAAATCACATTAGCTTCAGATTGTGAATGGGAAAATGAGACAGAATACTCACACACGAGTAGATCTGCGAAGTGGTGTTGCATCTGGCAGACATGGGGCCGCCTCGGCCATCCAGTGTTCATTGGAGATTGGAGGGTGACGTGTGATGTGATTATCAGGCATGCTGATATCCAGTGAGCATGTAGATGGCGCAGCCAAGGTGGCTTGAAGACCACAAAGCAATGAACAAAGACGCCCATAGTCAGGGTCTTCCGAGAACGCAAGAGAGCGTGTGTAGATGAGAACACTTGCAAATTCAACGGGAATTCCATCGCATAAGACTTCAATGGTGGTGTTGACCTTGTGCTCCAGTATGGAAGAGCTGGAGAGTTTCTCGTCGTCACTAGTTAGCCATGGGAGGGAGCCGCGTAATAGATAGATCAACATGTATGTAAGCGATTCAAGGTCGTCATGACGACCCAGGTCAACTCCTAAGTGGTTGTTGATTGAAGCGAAGGCAGGAGTGCCAGTGAGACGTTGATTCTGACGAAAGGGAATATGGACTCTGGTTGCAGTGTCCCAGTATTCCTTTGCGATACCGAAATCGATTATAAATGCAGTGTGCTTCAAATGGCCAAGGCCCACCAAGACATTCTGCGGTTTGATATTGCAGTGAACATAATTGTTTGAGTGGATGTACTCAAGACGTGAGAGCTGGAAAATGGGTTAGCCTATCTGCAACAACCCAGCATGAACCGACTGACCAGTTGGATTCCTAGATTGACAACAGTATGAAGGCTAAATTTTCGATCATGTGCAAGGAAAAGATCATGCAGTGATGGCCCAAGGAGGCCGAGAACCAACGCATGATATGTTGATTCTCGACCGAACCAGAGAGCACAGGGTATCCCAACTCCACCTTCAAGTCGTTTCAGAATGGCGTATTTACGCTGTACAGAAGATGGCTGGGCTGTGATGGATTCGAGTTTGATGGCAACTGCATCATCTTTGATGATGTTCCGAGCATGGTACACAACAGCTAAGTAGGGTCCATAGTATGTTAATTTTTTATAATTATAGTCAGCTTGTGAACAACACACCGTATGAACCGGATCCTAAAACATCTCCGAGTCTGAATCTACCGTCAATTCGTATTGGGACCTTATGGTTCATGGTGGGCATACTATGAGATAACTTGAGCCTTGAGGCCTCGAGGAGCAACAGTCAAACTAACCGGGAATGAGACTTCAACAGAGACGTGATTTCGTATTTATAAATCAGCTTGAGCTGGCCTTAAGCCAGCTCGAGCCGCTGTTGATTATTTTTGGCTTACAGTTGGTTTGTGGGACTCCAAACGGCTAACAAACCAGACCAAACTATATATAAGTAGTTTGGCTCACTAGGATAGCCAAAATTAGTACAAACCGATAAACGCCAAGCCGGAGCGGGCCATAGCCGAGCTGCGGTTGTACTAATAACATATATGAACTGCAGGAACAATGATACAGCCCTAAACTCCAAGGCCGCCGTCAGCCGTCCCCAACCAATGAAAGCACTGACACGTAGAAAAACACAATGAAAACACAATGAAAACTACTCACAGGCCTAGGTTAACCGAAACTAATCATACTCAATCAAGAAACATTTAAGAACATAACTGACGTCAAAACGACGCCAAGAGAGAACACAGCAAGTGATGCACGTAAAAGTGAACACAAGCCATCCTCTCACTAACGCATATCACCGCTAACAACCCCCATATGAAACTAACACCCACCGGCAAAACTCAGATAGCACACAGCCAACACGAAAACCGAAATTACATCGGCCACGACGCCAATACCGACCCACCTTGGCATATAACAAACAAGGGACATTGCGCCCAAGAAAAGGTATAAAAACCCCACCCCCCACCAACTTATCTCCCCGTCCAACCTAAGATGAAAGAGAAAGAACCCACTTCCCTCAAGGCCATATCCCAGGCCACCTGCCCTTACCCCTCCACCCCCTGCACATCATCTCAACCATCCAGGTCCAGGCCAAAGTTCTTTCCCCCCGACGTCCTGCCAGAAGAAGATCTAGAACGTGCTATGGACCTTATCCCTTACATACCTGACCCCCCCTCTCCACCATCCCCCCGAGCCCATGCTCCCCCCCTGATACACCGACCCCCTCAGGTACTACAGACCGCGTTCACCCACTTAACCCTGACCTCCTGGTATTCCGGGAGTTCAGCGTTAAAATATCCAATCCGTGCAACAACGAACCAATGTCCAATGGTCTCGCAAACTCCATACACGCCCCCAGCAATCCCGCAGTAGACCATACCATGAATGACTCCACCAGCCCAACCACAGACCACATCCTGACCCCCGAGGAGCAATCTATCTTGGCACACCTAGCATTAGCAGATATGAACAGGTCTGTGCTAAGTCAAAACAGCATGAACCACGCCATCTCCCTCCCTCAGTTCACCCAAGCCCCAACTGGAGGATTCCTTAAAGTGTACATGTCGCATTCCATGCAAGTCTTCGACCACTTAGAGAATAAAGTCCTACTCGCCTGGTTTCAAGTTGAACATCCGAAGTTTATGGTCAGGGTTTTTGATCACTCAGGAAAAGATGTAGTTGAGAGGGCCGCCATAATCGCGGAGCGCATTCGCGCCAATATCACAACAATCGCAGAGTCCCTCAACAAAGACCCCCACACCATCCGCGTCTCTCCCCCACAACCCCAGGGGGGAAAAGGAGCCAAGAACCTTCCAAACGGGTTCCTAGTTCATAATGTCTCCAATGAGACCAAGGACTTTATCCTGAGACAACGTATATGGTCTACAATGGACATCACGTTCGAAGCCCTACCTGTTACGTCGACTGTAGGTCGGCGTAGTGGGAACTAGGATAGGTCTTCTCAGCGACGAGTCGAGTGACTCTACTGAAGCTGAGCGTGGTCTGGCCTTGACGGAACGTCAAGGATTCCTCCGGCGATCTCGGTAAGACGGCGCTCGTCGAGATGCAGGGCTAGCGGATACGTGCAGAGGCGTATGGGAGCGACTCTGAAGTGCGGTCTCACACAAGGAAGCGGTTAAGCTAAGATGAGCAAGTTCTTGGTAGAACCTAGTAGATTAAAGTAAAGATCAATCTACAACAATGTGCCTACTTATACATAAGGTATGTAGGTGTTCAAGCTCAGTCTGTAATCTATAGTATATCGTACATCTAAGATAACCAGACATGAGGTGAGATAGAGTACATGAGGCTTAACCTCTTGATCATACATGCGGCGCCAAGGGCAGCTGCGCATAGGTACAGGAAGCGCCAAGCGCTCCGGGTCTTCATGAAGCGACATGCTGTATACATGCGCTGATCTAGGGTTACCATGAGGCGTACAGCCTTCATGGACCAGGTACAAGGCCGTCTAGGCCAGGGGCGGGATCATAGCATCAGGCGGGGTCATAGCGCCTTGAGGCGGGGTCATAGCGGTCCAGACCGCTGTCTTTCTAGGCGCAGGCGACGCATCGCCGCGCGGGGAGTCTAGCAGAGCGGGGGCAGGTGTAGGGAGAGCTGGGGCTCTAGTAGGTGTTACAGATCCCTGTAACACTACCCTTTAACTGCATGAACCCCCCAGATCTCCTCTTCGGACTATCCGGCTTTACAACACTGGACGCAGCCACTGTCCTCCAAGCCATCCAAGAGACTTGGGCGCAAGACAAGACCTACAACCGCATAGAAAGCTTCTTCTCTAAATGCGGGCTACCTGATGATGAGATGATCTACAAAGCTACCAGGGACTTCATTGTGTCTTGCCGAGCCGAGACCCTCAATTTCAAGTTACCTGGAGGACTCTCAGTCCCATGCTTCAACATTTTCGCTACGAGTCCCACCAACGACGCGAAAACATGGACTGACCTCAGACTCTACCTTAGCTCCCTCATTTACCCCACCAACCTGGACGGCTGCGGAGTCGCTACAGCGCTCTTCGCATGCCAAATATGCCATTCTCTCACGCACCCTCGCGGCTTGTGCCCTTTCCCCCTCACTCCAAACTGGAACGGCCCGAAGGTGGGGAACAGGACCTCCTCAAATGGATCCCGCCAACTAGGAAGAGGTAGAGGTGGCAGACAGGGGCGAAGCACCTAACAAGATCCTCCCGAGCATCCAAGTATATAACCTGACGAATGCATTACATATGCAGCCGAGAACCACCACCACCATTACATACACCTCCCCCTCCTCAGTTTTTGCCTTAGACAGAGCACATACATCATATAACCCTACCTACCCAGCCTTCCTCGTCAACACGCAATAATCACATTCATTCCGTCACATGCCTGATGTCTCACACAGCGTGATAAACAAACTAACAATACGCTCACGAGCCCTGCAAACGTGTCACACCACAAAATCAATAAGCGCTCCCCGAAAACTCTTAAAATTGAAAACCTAATCTACGATAATCTAAATCCTAAATGATAGATTATCTACTTGATTCACACAGTTTGCCGAGGCGCACTCTGGACCCCCCTAACCCAAAGCCCAAATATACTGACTGCCCCGCAGGACAGGAAAGCTTTGGTAGCCTCGACGGCAATTGCCAACAGCGGAGACCTATTTAGGTCAAGGACCCGCCACGCTGAGAAGCTTAAGCCACCGCCAGATGAGAAAGGTAATGGGATACCTACCTCTGAAAGCATGAGCATACGTCCACCGTGGTTGCCCGGGATATGACAGCCCCCTCTTCCTAATGGTTGTTTCAGAAGCTGCTGGTAACACGACCACCCCTCCACAAAGTAACACAACCCCCCCCCCCCCCCCCACGGTAGCTTTCACGGTCCTGGTTTTCTCCTCTCGAGAAGCAGAGAAGTTGGGCTTCAAGCCACCGGGCCCACCCTCGAAGACGCTACACGAGAGTTCGGAGGTGGAAACACTCCTATGGTACCTAACCTGGTGCCACAAAACTTAACGCAACAGAACACCACCAATGAAAGACACGCACCCCGTAACCATTACCGAGATCAACACTAAACCTACAAGACACATGGCGCATCGAAAACCCAAACCGAAGAATGTTCACCTTCAGTAGCAATCACAATACTCAATCATGCCTAGACAGAATCTACACCTCAACACGCCATGTAGAAAGCATGATGGACTGGGACTCACACATCAGCCATATCCCGACAGACCACCACATGGTGTTGGCGAGATTCGCACCACCCGGACTACCGCACATAGGGAAGGGAAGATGGTCGTGGCCAATAGGGATAATGACAGACGAAACCCTAATCAAAAGGATCGTTAAACTAGGGATTGAAAACCAACAAACAATGGAGGAAATGAACGTACAAGACAACACATACAACCCGCAAAAATCCTGGAATATCTTCAAAACGAAGGTAACCGACTTAGCGAAAGAAACTCTGAAAATACACCTAGGACGAGTTAACCAACGAATACGGACCCTAATGAAAGACCTACGAAAAACAACAAACTTAAACAACATAGACTCCTCTGAAAATACTAGAATAAACTGTATTATCATCGAAAAAGAAATAGACCACTTACAAAGGAAGCAAAACAAAAGAGCCCAGCTAAAAGCCCAGTCGCAATGGATGTCACAAGGTGAAAAAATAAGCAAATACTGGTCAAAAATAAATAGTCAAAAAACCAAGAGATATAATATACAGACTACACGTACCTGGAACCAACAACTACACCACAAAATCAGAAGAAATGGCAGAAATAGCTAGAACATACCACGAAAACATACAAATGACCAACAACTCCCATCACCATGACCAGACCCAGCAGAATGCGAGAAGAACATCACTAGCAGAAATACCGGCAAGTCAGAAAATCGAAACACAAACTAACCAACTCAATGAACTCTTACAAGAAGAACACGTTCTCAATGCACTAATGTCCTCAAAATCAGGTAGTGCCACTGGTATTGACGGAATCCCATACGAGCTATGGAAACACCTGCACGACAAATATACAGAAGCGAGTAAGAAAAACCAACCAGGTTTCAATATAATCAAAACACTCACCATCGTAATGAACGATATCCAACTTCACGGAGTCAACCAAGACTTGGACTTCACCCTAGGTTGGATGTGCCCGTTATATAAGAAAAAAGACCGCACTAGAATAGAAAACTACTGACCAATAACATTACTGAACACAGATTATAAGATACTCACCAAAGCCCTCGCCATACAACTGACCAAAGACATACGCTGACCTAATGGAAGAAAATGGCGCAATTGTAGCCTTAGATCAAGAAAAAGCGTATGACAGAATTCAACACTCTTACCTACTCGAAACACTAGAAGCCTTTAACCTCCCATGCATGTTCATAAATACTGTAAAAACCTTATATCAATCAGCATATACACGAGTAGCAATAAACAGTTTCCTCAGCTCACCGTTCCAAGTAACACGTGGAGTGAGACAAGGCGACCCACTATCCTGCCTGTTATTCGACTTAGTGATAGAACCTCTGGCCTGCGCAATACGAAACTCCCCAAAAGTGAAAGGATACCAAATCCCTGGCGTATGAGAACGAGTAAAGGTCAATATGTATGCAGATGATACCACGATATACCTCTCAAAAGATGACAAATACTCAGACTTAGAAACAATACTACAAACCTGGTGCACAGCATCAGGCGCGAAATTCAACATGGAAAAAACCGAAATATTACCTATTGAAACCAAGGAACACCGCTCCTCAGTAATACAAAATAGAAAACTAAACAACCTTGACGCACCGTGGCAAGACCAAGTCAGAATAGCCAAAGATGGCAACCCTATAAGATTACTTTGGGCCTGGATAGGCAACGAGACAGAACAAGCAGCATCCTGGGAACCGACACTAATGAAGATCGAAAACAACCTTAACAGATGGAATATGGGACACCCCTCCCTCGATGGGAAGAAATTGATCATCCAAATGGTAGTCGGCGGAATGACGCAATTCCTCACAAAGGCACAAGGAATGCCTAAAAGTATTGAGAACGCCATCACCAAAATAATCAGAAACTTTATATGGGATGGAAAGACAACCTCACCAATAAGCATGGGACAACTAGAACATCCCATCGCTGAAGGAGGCCTTGGTCTTCTAAATGTCAAAGTAAGAAACGAAGCAATAGACATAACATGGCTACAAGCCTACATGGACATTGTTACGACGGTACGTCGTAGTGACTGTAACAGACATAACGGCTCGTAGACCAACATGGGCTTTTGTCGCTGACACCATAATCAACACATTGAAACCAGAAGGAATCACCAATAACACTGACCTACGTACTTTCCTATCATCCTGGAACCCTCCTGCCAAGGGTAAAAGAGCAAATAAGCTGCCGTATATGATAACAAACATGTTAAAGATCACTAGAAAACACCACGTAAGCTTCGCACCTCTGAAGATCTCCGAAAATCTCAAAGACCAACTCCCAGCCTGGTTACACATGGGCGCTCCACCAAGAACCTACCATAAAACAAAAAACAACTGCCTATGACAAACACACCGAGTGACATCAGTAAAACACTTAAGAAATACTGCCGAACAAATAACAAACCAAATTCCTCACCAACCGCAAGCCACATGTACATGCACCGACTGCATCAACGACAGACTAGTGGGATGTAAGAACCCCCATCAATGTGCAAAGACCGCACAACACATACTAGATAGCCTCCTACCAAAATATAACCCCAATACGACTCCTAAAAAAGACCACTTAACACTAACACACAGACACCTAGAAAAAAACACACAAGCTCGCACACAACCACAGGGAGAAATCCTCTTCAATCCCTCCATCACAATCCGGAACAGCCTGACAGACTGCTTTCGCATTTTCGTAGACTCATCGAGACCGATAGAAATACCTGCTTACAGACTATGTGTCCCACTCAATGGAAGATAAACGAACGACAACACACTCACCATCTTCACAGACGGCTCCTGTACCAATAACGGCAAGTATAACACAAAGTGCGGAGGAGGAATCTGGATCGACGAGAATCACCCAATGAATCGTGAAATTAGCATGCCCGGGACGCACCATTCAAACCAAATAGGAGAACTTGTGGCAGTACTAGTAGCACTGCAAACCGCAAATCCACTAACACCTGTTAAAATAGTAACAGACTCCAAGTATGTAATAAACGGCCTAAACACCCACCTCGACGATTGGGAGAATAATGGGTGGATTGATGTGGCAAACACCCAAATATTCAAAGCAATAGCGTACCAGCTATGACGGCGCTCGGCACCAACAAGCTTCCAATGGGTTAAGGGACACAGTCAAGTAAAGGGAAATGAAAAAGCTGACCTACTCGCCCAAAACGGTGCATCGAAAGCGACCACCGACATCATCGATACATATGTACCACAAAATTTTGACCTCCAAGGCACAAAATTGTCGAAAATCAAACAAAAAACAGCCTATAAAGTGTTAATAATAAAGAAACAAATAGACTACAAAAGACCGACCTTAGGCATGCTAGACATTACAAGATACGCCGTTGAAGCGCTAACCAAAACACTGGAGACAGATGAAACGATATGGCAAGGATGCCGAAACAATGACCTATCCAAAAAAGTCCAAATCTTCATATACAAAATGTTAAACAATGCCTTCCGCATCGGAGATTTCTGGACACAGATACCCAATTTCGGGCACCGAGCGCAATGCCAATCCTGTGGAGAAGAACCAGAATCAATGGAACACATACTGACCCAATGCACCAACCCAATAAGAAAGCAAATATGGAGCCTAGCGAAGAACCTCTGGCCAAATAAACATAGCCCATGGCCCGAACCCTCACTGGGACTCATATTAGGAAGCGGCAACATATCGCTCCCGAAGAACACACAAGCCCTCAACGAAAACAACCAGATACGCGATACAACAACAAAAGGGGCATCGCGCCTCCTAAGGATCTTAATTTCAGAATCAGCATACCTTATATGGGTAATAAGGTGCGAACGTGTCATTAGAGACCAAGCACATACCGATGAACACGTCATGAAACGATGGATGAATATCATAAACCAGAGACTACAACTAGACCGAGTGACAGCGTGCAAAACAAAGCGATCAACCAAAATGACGTCACAAATCTACCATACATGGGCTGATGTAATCGAAATAAACAATGACAAATACGAAATGGGAAAAGACTGGGTGACCGCCCTAGAGGTTTTAGTGGGTATTAAACTACCCTGGCCCCCACAGACCGAAGTGTCCAGGTAGTATACGGAGCCCCACACTACTCCCAATAATGGAGTGTGCATAAGTAGCATTTTTCCTCGGATGACGCCAGTGCATCGCTATAAGTGTTTATTTAGGACTAGACAGTGTCAGTTGCTGAATAATAAACTCGCTTTTCCAAAAAAAAAAAAAAAAAAGAAATGATTGTGGATGAGTCAAAAGATACGTACAACAGATCGATCTTGATAAGGACTCATCTCTTTTAAGCGTACTGGAGCCTTCGGAGCCGAGTACATATCATTTTCGGCAATACTGCGTGCGCCGTGACTCCATGAAAACGGCGAACTGTTTTCTCAGTACTTGTTGTGTGTGCAGTGAAGGTGCTTATAAGTTGATAGGAGAGCCAGTACAAGGATGTTGCGAGCAGCTTGGCATCGTCAGAAGCATGGGCAGTATCCATCTAAAAGAGTTGAGTTACTGACAATGAGTTTGAAAGTTGTTCTAAACAACTCGGATTGGGTATAGCTCAGGGCATGCATTCGTAAATGTTGTTTTGGCTCAACCGAGAGAAAAGTACACCGCCAACTGCCACTTTGGGCGAAACCGAGCTAGCGCAAAAAGGATTTTAAACGCCTGACAACCAGGTGGATATGAGTTCAAATACACACTTGGGCCCATAAATAATAAATTGTTCCTGTAAAGCTTACAGATCTGGTCCTTTTGAGAGCTTTTGTCCCGATCCTGGGCAATACCTTGATTATTGCTATATTGCTGCCCAATTCTGGGCTTGTGCGGACCTCGAAGTCACACATGTCAGACACATCGGAATGAGTCATATGGTGCAGCTCGGGCGGCATACCTGTGGCAGACCTATGACAGAGCTCGTACTGATATCTAAGTGACCTCTGTACGTGACACTCACCATTAATTCCTCTGCACACTTGAAGATTGACGGACGGGTGGTTCTTTTAAATCCCTTTGAAGTGTCCTGGTGGTGCAATCGGATCAATCAAAAGAGTACAACAAGGTATGCATTGCAGATAAGCACTGTACTGTAGTATATACACAAAATATGTATTGATATTGATAAGTATCTAACAGACTAAGACTGCAGGAGGAAAAGCATCTTGGAGTCAATCAGAAGCGACGAGAGGATGAGGAAAGAACAGGGCAGCATGTTTACAAAACTCAGCCCAGATGTCAGGCAATACATTCATAGCACCTCGATCCCCCGTCATAGCGACATCACCTGACCGTTCTAACCACTGCTCAATGAACGTACCCTCCAATGGAATTCGGGAATCCCACTTTGGCCACGAGCCCCCTGGGAATGATGGATATGCCGCAATGAAAGCAAGCCAAAACGCATCGCGTCCCCATGTCCACAGCTGCATTTGGCAATTCACCTGATCAACGAGCCATGCTTCGATATCCTTCATCAGCGAGGCCCATTTAGCCTGGTCAGCGTAGTCAAAGTGTTGAAGGGGCAGGAATGGAATAAGAGTGTCATATGGGAGCACAGGAAAATCATCGTGGCCATGACTGCAGACTGACTGCGCAATGTAAATTTTCAAAAGAAATTGCGAAGACCGTAGACTCACAGCATCGTCTGAGGGCGTCAAATATCCAGCACTGGAGCAGAGATCCATTGATACAGCTTCCACAACTGGCAAGGCAAAGGTCCCATATTCATCTGCAATAGAGACTGTAATCTGGACAGGCTGTTGCGCACCGGTAATCAGAAAACAGTCCTGATGGTGAATTCAGCTGATCTTGTTGACAGCACTGGTATGCTTTCCCCCTTCATCTCACACACATATATATACATGCTTATTTGGTGGCACAGTTCTGCAGTTCTGCGATACTACTCAAAAGCGCATCCTCTGCACAGTGTGCCCTCGGAAAAATGGTATTTATCGTACAATGGAACTGCGACATGTCAAGAAGCACACTCTACAAGGAATCCATACTCATCACATTAGATACTTCATGGAGCGACATACGAGGATGAGACTTTCGCATTCGGTCCAGGGCAAGAAGGGTGCCAATGTCATTCGCATGGAGTCTGAATCGCCACTAGCTGCTGCCGACACCGATATCTCTTTCAATGCTGATGACTCTTTCATGGATATAGACGACACTTCTGATGTGCCACTCGCTGTCGCACAGTCTGGTATACTACCACCTGCAGCACCTGTTATGGTGTCAGATGACACGGACTCTGATACATTGTCAGAGCTCGTGAAAAAGATAATCGGCCATCGCACTTTTGAATTTGAAGGAGGATGTCCAGACTTATTCGCCGAACTTCAAGCAACCCTTGCATCGGGTGAATTACCATTCTCGACTCCACTTTCCCGGTCCTCTGACAAGGAGCACGAGCTCTTCAATGACAGCGCTCCCAATTTTGGGGTTGAGCTCCTTGGTGAGTGACATCACTGTTCGTTCTGCAGGGCCATGTGTTCAGTGACATTACCAGATGATATCCATGATAAGGCGAGTGCGAACTTCGATACGGTCTCAATGAATAACCCAACATATCCAGCGCCATCAAAAGCGGTATGTTTCTCATTGTATCTGTGTCACAACCTAATACTTACATCCCTGTCAAGCACTTCTTCACATCCCTTCTTTTCAGCTCTCCGCAACTCCCATTCTCCGAGACCCAGAAGAAAGCCATACTCAATTGGGCCAGAAGTCTTGGTGCTCAAAATGTCCCCTCGCTGGGTTCGATGAAGAAGTGCCACACATACCTGGATAGTCTTGTCAGCAATCCGACTCAGCAAGTCACATCTTGTGCTGGCGACATATTTTACATCAACAACATCGCAGAAGCAATCGCAAAGGTGCATCTAACACGTCTCTCACATGAGCACGGTAGTGACATTAAATTTAGGACTACGCAAATCCACTTACTCGGTTTGCAATGAAGGATTACCCCGAGGATGGTGGTGAGGGGATGTCGCAAGTATTCAATGGGAAGAAGATGTTGCTCGATCTTCTGTCACCACCGGCGGTTCGAGTAGATGGAACGATTTACTTCACAGATGAACTCTTACAGGATAACTCTGGAGACTACTTTATTCCAGAGCGCTTTTTTTATGCCTCGCCTCCTGCAGACTCAGATGGCGATGACACCAAACTCCATGAGCATGCAGATGCGAAGCCCTTATATGCACTTGGTTGGGCAGTCGAACGAACGGAGGTACGTGGTCGTCATGCATCTATTATAACATATGATATTCTAACTACTTGAATAACAGGCCGGATTCATTGTTCATGATGAGCAAGAGATCATTCCTACATCCGCATTTGTAAGGTCATTTGAAGACATAGCTGCGACACATGATGAACTTGATTGTGGGCTTACAGGTGTGTTATGTGCCCATCTGTATCAGAAATCACAGGACTCACATGATAACAGCCTCATCCACCAAATATGCGTCACTTTTGCCAAGTCCAATGCGTAAAAAGGCAAACGGTCGCATGGTATATACAGTCCCCCCCATCATATTCATGGACGATGTTTCCGGTAACATATCCAAACAATGGAATCAACATCACGTGATCTATATGTTGAACGCAAATTTACCCTGTGAGATGCTGGAGAAAGAATTCTTTGTACGCTTTGTTACATCTTCGCCTCATGTTGCTCCCATGGAACTCATGCGGGCAATGAAACAATCAATTTCATTTGTTGGTTTATTGGCTCACTCAAATTGAAGTTCTAACATGACCTATAGCGATGCAGCTACATCCGGTGTCGTCGCATGGGATTGCAAAGATAACGAAGAAGTCTTGCTGATTCCGTGCGGGCTTTTCCTTGCTGGGGACAATCCCATGCAGGCAGAGGAGTGCAGCCATGCAGGGCTAAACTGTAATTATTTCTGTTGGACGTGCGACATTGGTGGAACAAAAGAATTCAAGGCATCTGAGAATGGTTATAGTAGCCTGTTCACGGTAAGCATGTATTTGAATCGAACTCTAACACCTGATGATACACTTGTAGTCAGGAAATCTGCGAACACCAGAAAGCACTGCAAACAACGAACATCCGACAGCAGTTTGAGACAGCATTGAAGTCTGGTGTGACGGAGAAAATCAAGAATTTGGTGTCGACGACGGGTATTCGTGATATGGCCTCCACCTCTATCATCAACACCCTTGTGGAACTTGGAAAGAAGCTCCGAAAACGCGCAGCTGGTACTCAAGCAATGTCTGAAGCCGATGTCACAGCTGCACTGGAGAAGGAATTCGAGGAACTTCTGCGAGGCAACACACTTGACGACACCATCAACCCATTGTTGGGGATGGATGGTTAGTTTCTTTTCACGATGTTGACCCTCTCATTGACACTACTAGCAGGTCTCAATATGCACATGGACACACCAACGGAAATCCTGCATACAGTGCTACTTGGTGTCGTCAAGTACTTCTGGGGGCAAACTGTATTTTTACTCGAAAAAGCAAAGCTCATGGACATTTTTCAGACCCATCTCCATTCTGTCGATACTGATGGACTGAACGCTCCGTGCCTGGGTGCGGATTACATCTGCCATTATAAAGGTAGCCTGATTGGAAAGCATTTCAAGAGCTTGGCGCAAGTGATGCTGTTCTTAATTTATGACCTCGTGCCTTCAACTGTTCTCGACGCATGGACTATCATCGGTGAACTTGTTGTGCTTGTATGGCACACCAACATATTGAATATGGAAGCTTATCTTGTAAGTTTATATGCAAATATAGATTCTAGGTCTCATGCTGAGTCTTTCAGGCAAAGTTATCTTGAACGATCGAGGATTTCCTTAACGTCACGGCACAATGCTCCCCCAGTATCATTATCAGCAAGCTGAAATTTCACTTTTTGATTCACCTCCCAGCTTACATTCGTCGGTTTGGGCCTGCAATTGTATTTTCAACAGAAAGATACGAGTCATTTAATCATGTTTTCCGTTTGTCATGTATATATAGCAATCATCAAGCGCCAAGCCGTGATAGCTGCAGAACCTTCGCTCACCAAGACATTGTCAAGCATGTGGCCACTGGCAGATATTGGTACAACCCCGAGGCAGCAAAATGGGTTCAGGCAGGTCCAGTGGTCATTGGGTACCTGCATGATCACCCAGAGCAAGCCCGACTTCTCGGGTTGTCCCATTTTGTTCAAATCCCCCCAGTACCTGGTATTTAAGTGCATTTTACCTTGCTTTATCTTCACTCATATTCCATGTAGGTTCTGGAAAGGCTCTATCGACTGCTGGCGCAAATGGAAAAACAACAAGGACCGATGTCATGGCCTGGAAGAACACTCATTGTGCGAAGACCTTGAAGACTGCATGGCCTGGCATCGTTTGCCATTTTGGAAAATCAGTTGTGCTGAGTGAGGGCGATGTCGCTCATTTAGATAGTAATGTTTTCTTTCGTCAAGGGGTGAATGGACCGGTAAGCAATTTCATGACTTTTCATGGCTGTTGATTCATGCTACTAGATGGGCATTGGACGAATTCGCGAGATCCTCATATCACCGGAGGACCACAAAACAGTAATTCACGTCGCACTACAGCTCTTTACATTTCTGGATACATTACATGCCTCTGTCCATCTCCCATGTCTGAATCTTACGGATGATGAAGCAGTTGTAATGGCATCGGTGAGTCTTTTTTTACAAATGCACGAACCATTCAGACCATTGTCCAACAGGATATCATATGCATCGTCAATCTCCAGCACAACTGTATCGACTTACAATGTACGGACACCCTCGAACAAAATGTCCGTCAAGAACGGATCGAAACATCTCGGACAAAACCTACCATTCGCCATAAGTCCACTCCGCACTTTCTTGTCAATGCCTACTCTCTTCATAACTATGCACATATCCACCTTGTCATTCCCAAAACGCTTCATGAAACACCACTCCGAGTTACAAACGTGGCGGAAGTTCGGGCCATAGCTGTACATCATATGAAGGAGAAGAAAGCCTCGAAGAAAGCTGGCGACGCACCTCAAGAAGCCGAAAGCACCAATAATGATGTTCAGGGTTTGTTGGTACCGGTTCCAGCCTTCGATAAACCTTCTGCCAAACCGAGGACCGCCACAAAATCAAAAGCAAGAGCAAGCAACTCCAGCACACGGGGCAAGAAGGCTGCACCGTCTTGTCCCGTCAGCTTGAAGTTGTTCACAGGTCATCACCATCCGCTCAGCAAAATTCTGTGGTTCAATCTAATACTGCTGCTTTTGATCAGCATGGTCAGGGCCACTTCACGCAGTCATACCCTCCTCCGCCCCAATACTTCCACTCCTCTTTACCTCATGCACACTATCCACCACCACAATATGTTCCTCTACCACAACCATACCTTCCTCCACCGCAACTGTATATTCCTCCATCACAACTGTACCTTCATCCGCTACCAATGCCACTGGCTCCACATCTTTACTCAGGCTATCATCCAAGTGCAGACACACGCCCCATCCATGCACAGTCAGCTCCCACAGCATCAGGTTCGAACATTCACATGGCGCCACATACCCTTCCTGGTGAACCGCACATCCCAAACCCCTACTTCCTGCCTCCTGGTTCCGCTTAGAGACATGAGGACAATTGAAGAGTTTCCTTGGCAGTGCTTTTGTCACCGGCAGCGGTCATATAAGCAAGCCTGCCTCGATTACTACACACTAACACTCACAGGTTCAAGCAGGATAGCTTTCAGACCACCACTCTTGCTGTTCTAAAGCAGAGGTGAACCCCCAAAGCCCTACTGTTTCCTCGACAGTGCTTTTGTCGCCAACAGCGGTCATGTAAGCAAGCCTGTCTCAATTACTACACACTAACACTCACAGGTTCAAGCAGGATAGCTTTCAGACCACTGCTCTTGCTGTTCTAAAGCAGAGGTGAACCGCGCATCCCAAATCCCTTCTGTTTCATTGACAGTGCTTTTATTACCAACAGCAGTCATGTAAGCAAGCCTACCTTGATTACAACACGCTGACACTCACAGGTTCAAGCAGGGTAGCTTTCAGACCACCGCTCTTGCTGTTCTAAAGTAGAACAATTCTGTGTGCTGGACCTCCACACAGATTCCCCACAGTTCTGCTAGTTGAAAAGTCCTTTCAAGAGTGTTTCTGTCACGCTGGTCCACTAGCTGGGCCTTAAGAAGATGCGAGGCTTGGTTACCAATGCTGGTAACTATTAGTTCGAGAACACCACGGTCAAGGTAAGGATGTAGACATGGATGACGATCACATTTGCATGTTTTTTTAACTATCATGTACCCATGTTTTTCCGCCTTCACACCTTTGATACCAATTGTATACTCAATGCTATTCGATTTGCCTTCTCTGCTGCACTTTGTTTTATCAAGCTTGGTTTGCAAAAGTTTCAATGTGTGCCCCGAATTTACCGAATTTACGTTAAGCGAGTTTAGCGTGATTTGACTTGATTCCGGCTTTCCACTTGTTCATTTGTCGTCGGCAACCCCAGGTCTTGTGTATTTTCTTAACCTCTAACATCATGATTTCGTGTTTTCCTGTGCGTCCTCGAAGTTCAAAGACTTCAGGTAATTCACAGGCTCAGAGTTCCAGAAACAATGGTTTGTTGGCCCCAGACATCAACCTACTGTGGCCTCGAGGAAGAAGTGTTTCAACTTCCAGCGGAAGTCAACTTGGCAGAACACGAGCCCCTTCTGCATGTGGTTCTCAGGCAATGGTAAACATCGCTCATGCACGCTCACCACTTGGCATGTTTCCAGTTGACAGCACATCGTTGTCTCATAGCTTGACTGCTGTTGGTGATAGTATAACACATTCTGCTGTTCCACGTTCTCCCTCATCTAGTGATTCAATTAATGAGCCAATTACCGCTGGTATACATCACCGAAGGACAGATTCTGCTGCTGACCAGGATGACCCAACAATCCTTATGCCCTCATGCACGAAACAGCTCAAAGTGTATGCTAAGAAGGTGGCTGAGGAGAACGACATCTCAGAAAAAGATCTGTATGACTTTATTGATGTGAGTTGCTGTATCGCTTGACAAATCCTCACTTTTTTGAAATGCCTCTAGACCGGAGGAATTTATTACATGCTCATTGATCTCAAAGTATGTATGATGAAGAGTGATACAGGCCAAAAGGCTGCTCTTCTCCATGATTTGAAAGAGTTGCTAAACTCCAAAGATTTTAAAGTGTTTTTTTTTTGCCGTCTCCACCCACAAATCACCAGGTTAATTGTGCTATGCAGTCCGCACTCCAAAATCGCTTGATAGCATGTCTACTGTCGCCCAACATTACCGCATATGTGACGGACACACATCCCCACATCATGGTGACCCCCTTTGAGTTATGGCGACTCATTCACAAGAACTGACACTGCGACAGAATTTCATAAAAGACAACAGTGGTGTATTCAAAGTTCCGCCATCACTGTTTGAGGACGTGGAGCTGACTGCGGTATTGGCAAAAATTGTCAGTGAGCTGCTTTCATCGATTAGAGGTAACATGAAGAACAAGGTACGCAACATGATAGTCAATTTGTCTCAAGAATCGCTAAAATGATTGCTCAGCTGCTCGCCTCTATCCGCAAACACATGAGCATTATGGACACGGCAAAATCACTTGCACATGGTTCCATTGAGGTTGACTCGGCTCATTGGAACAGGCTTGCATTTTTGGTGCGTTTTCATCCTATGATCAGACATTGTGGTTATTATAACCTGTGATAATTAGCGGTGCTGCTTGCGCGTCTTTATGATTGGTATCAGTGACTACAGGACCGTTCCACTCAAGGACCTTTATTCGCCTTGTCTTATTCTGTCTCTCCACACTGCTGTCCGCGCTAGAATTGGACCAAAACTCGGCATCGACATCGACAGCATCGAGCATGAGATGCTAAGCGAAGAAGAAATTCCAGATGGCCAGGACGAAGGCCAGGAAATGCACAGCACAGGAACTGCTGGCAGTGCAGTCGTCGACAATGGCAAACCAGCTGATGGGACGAGAGAGTTGGAGGAAGATTCGGGTGACAATGGCGATGCAGACCAGGATTATGAGCCCGAGGATAACGAGGGGCCTGATACCACCCCATATAGCAGAGCTCTTGCTGAGGACGACTCTGGCAAGCCTGCCGTTTTCACTTCGGGAAAATTTTGGAATTTTGTTGATACCTCGCTTGAGAACATTCGCAAAGTTGTCAAGCAGAAGGCAGTGAACAATCATCAAGGTACTGTTTTCCAACATACATCAATTGAAAATGCGTTTCGGCAGTAAGTGTTTCATAACTGAAACTTATATATCATTGCTCATTATCGCCAAGAATACTCATAGAATATTTCCAGGAGGACCTCGCTGATTTCCCCAGTAACATGGCCGTTCCTAAGCTCCTCACAAACAACAGTCCCCAGTGGCAGACCACGATTCAGAACAACCTCCTGTGGAATGAGAATCTGTGATGTTCATTCCGACGCTGCTTCTTTTCCATCGTTCCATATATCACACTCGTTTTCTAATTTTTTTTGTCTATATCTAAACCGTCGTAATGCAATGTTTCAATTTGTGACCCGTTTTGTTTGCTCAGATGCTCAACTCTTTCAATGGCATGAATATACCTGCGGCTTCACTGCAACAGTCCATGCTGGTGAGATCAGAATGGTGCACAAAATGTCAATTAGATATGGTTCACATCTGAAACTCTATGTACATCAAACATTGGGGAGATATGTACACGACCTATGGAGACTGACCTGTGTGACAGGTATGCGCGAGATGCTTCTGCCAGGTGTCGTACAAGACCTACCCAGAATCTCTGATGCTTATATTAACTATAGCTCTGGTCGCCAGGGTATCGACGGTGCCTCTAATAGCTCTTTTGGTGGTTGTAAGCATGTCTCACAACCCCTTCGCCTCCTCGCCTCCTTATAGATATATTATATTGCTCGGCAAGAGGTACCGAGAAGGACATTGGACTGAGGCGGCGGTGAGGTCAGCCACAGGGTGCTACTTTTAGACCTGTGTGATAGCCTTTCGGCACTCAGCGGTGTACCGCTCTGGGACTGCCGTTGTAGTAAAATGTTAGTTTTTTGAATCGGACACGATACAAATATGTAAAATAGCATCGAAATTTTCATGAGTGAGATACAACTATTAGCTAATGTGAATATATTATCGATATACATGATGTACATATCTATTCAAAATCAAAATCAGATAGTTCGTCGTTGGCTTGCTGTTGCGAGCGCCCGCAAACGACGATGCTGTCTGTGAAGTTGTCTAAAATAACCTTTTCAGCGTCACTTAGCTGATCCAGGCCCAGAACAATCTTTGTGAATGTCGAATGCATCATCTGGGGGGTAATCCTACCCTTTGTAAGTTGTATCAAGCCCTGCTCCATCAATGCAGACTCTGTAATGGCGCCGGCTGCGCCAATAGTGTAACGTATTTGACGGCATAGGCATTCGTCGACAAAAGTGTGGAGCCGGAAGGGCGAACACCAGATGAGTTTCGTTAGGACATGAAGGATGAATGGGTTGGTGAATTTCGAGTGAATGACAAGCGCACCGTCCTGTCGAAATGGATTAAAAAAATGTTCTCGAAATTAAATAAAGACTTACTGCAAAAGTGTATTGATGCATGAATGCTAAGTCGTTATCTACGACGAGGCAGCGTATCCGATCAACACGAAAAGTATCTGGGGGGATAGTACAGCCCTGTGGTGGGAAGAGGGAATATCCCATCACAACAGCTTGTCGGATGATCATTGCGAACGCAGTGCGAAATTTCGTCACTGCGCACCAAATGTTCACGATGTCCTTTTCGTTAGCCGTCCATTGTGTTGCAACTAGTAGGATCAAATAGTTAGTATAAGTCAGTGTTCGCATGTTAATTCATACCGAGAAGGGCTGGTATTCTAGATCTTACTTCGGAAATGCCCTTTTTGACGATGCGCTTTTTGTCAGCCGCGAGAGATACCAGTGCATCGTCAGAAAAGATGATGGATAATACGCGTTCCTTTGAGGCTGAGATCGCTTGTTTGCGCGTCTCGGGACTAATGTCAACGGCGGAACCTTCGATGGATTCCAGAGGTGCGACAGTCCCTGTCATCGTTGTGGGCATCACAACAGGAATGACAAGGTGTGGTGTGGGGGGCAGACGTCGAGTTGCACGACAACGTGCTTTCGATGTCCTTGCAGGCCCTGTAGTCTAGTAATGTCAGGTCAATTTTCGATGATGCAGATACTAACATTGACTTACATGTATCACATGGGAGTTGGGGATCTCTCCCGTCGACATTGGCCATAAGTGGTGGAGATCCGGTGGCAGGACTGAATGAGTCTGAAATTCCTCATCATCGCCGACCCAACTGGGCGCTATGGTGGAAGGGTAAGTGCTAGACATATGTTATGAGCGCAGGCAGACTTACCTAATGACGGAGCAACATATCCGGTCGAGGATCCAGCGCCAGACGCAAAGTCTTGCTGAGGATATGCGAAGTCCTGCTGAGGAGGCGCGAAGTCCTGCTGAGGAGGCGCGAAGTCCTGATGCTGATAGTGCACGAGATCTTCATGCTGGTAAGCTGGCTCGCACTGGTAGGGAGCGGACTGATGCTAATGCTGGGCGAAATCCTGATGATGATGTGCGAGATCTTCTTGCTGATGCTGGGCGAAGTCTTCATGCTGATTGTAAGCAGACTCACGCTGGTGGGGAGCGGACGTGTGCTGATGGTGCGCGGAGTCCTGTGGATGGTGCAGATGGTGGGTAGTGTGAGGATTGAATGGCAGCAGCTGATTTGAGGTGTGAGGGTTAAAAAAAGACATTGGTTCGTGCGGTTGCTCATCAACAAGATTCAATTGACTGTCCGCAGGAGCATGAGATGGGTTGAGGCCCGAACCATGCACAGGTTTCGCAAAGTTAGTCTTACCTTTGCGGGGCAGTGCACGTTTGCTGGCCATAAAGTAGAGGGAGTTGAGGATGCATGTGCGCAGAGAGCAGTCCAATTTGAATTCTACGAGAAGCGACTGTACACAAACAACACCCAAATAAACTACACGTCTTGTGACATGGGGCTGCGAACAGGATAAGGGTTAAAATGAAGGGGCACGATGTAAAAAGAACAGCTGCAGATGTGAAAAATGAATACAAATGAGAAAGGGGCCATGATGGATTTGCTAAACTGTAGCATGCATGTTACAATGTGTTCTTATCGATTGATCAGTCGAGCGCATAATGACTGGACACATGTATACATACCTCAATTGGAAGCGCAGGGCTCATACAAATAACGGCGTATGGGAAGGGTGTGCAGACTGTGCTGCCGAATTGACCGAAACCTGTGAGTTATCTTCCTGATCTGCGGATACCAGATTATCTCTAATCGAAACCCCAGGCTCAGGCGATGGTGATCCCGATCCTTTGGCTCCAGGTTGCAAGAAATCCTTCTTGACACGTGCACCTAAGATCTTTGAGAACTGCTCAGCTTGTAGCGAGACAACGCGAAGAATCTCCATTTCATCCTCGTAGACAGCTTGAAGGTAATCTCTGTCGTCATTGACATCAGAACGGTCACGCTCAGAAAATAGCTTCCTAAAGATGTTTAAGTCTTCTTGAGCAAATCTGAGCCGTTCTTCGTTGTCGACATGCAGAGCATCCAGGAACTCAAGGAAGCGCTCGGTTTCCTCGATTTCCCATGTGGTCACCAACATGCGCTGGCGTGCAGTCTCACGAGCAGCAAGCTTTGCTTGATACCCTTTGTACAAGGTTGCAGGACGCATTTGTGTGAGGCCATTTTCCAATGTTCCGGCATGCTTTCAATAATTTAGTCTCTACAATTAAATAAAAGAAATACATGATACCTCGAGAAGTGAGTCAGGATACATATGGTTTGCATTCTCGCCCAGTGACACGAGCTGCATAACGGACCTCAATTGGAGCTGGAGAGGGGGGGTACGGAATGAACTTGTTGCTCATTCTCTCGCGGATAAAGCCACGTCGAGAAGCGCGTGCAGGATTTGGAGGTGTAGATGGATTATAGAATAGGCTGTCCATCTCCGATTTGGCAGCTGCAATCTGAGGTGTCTTTGACAGTGAGGATATGCTTCTTAGTGAAGCACATATGTCAGAATGCCTCATATTGGGAGAGCTTTCTGACTTGAGACTGGAATCAAAAAGAGATGATCCAGGAGTGGTAGCACGTCCGCCTGACAGAGGTGAAGATGGAGGACTGCTTGATGGAGGAGGGCAACTACCGCCTCGAGAAATGGGGGAGGAACTGACTTGTGGAGAAGAGACTGTATGAATCATCATGTACAAAGGGTGGACTTGGGAGAACCTGCAGAAGGCTAACTGGGAAATCTGCAATTATATGAAGCGACCTGTTGGATTATCACAAGGTTGACATCAGCCGGCGGAGTCTAAAAGACTGAATCGATTTGCGCACTGCGTAACGCCTAGCACTCAGCAAAGGGCAGCAAGTGTGCATATACTATCATTGTCACTCAATAGTGCTGATGATCAATGGACATACCTGTACCAGGTTTTGTCCCAACTGCAGTAAAGAGTTTCCTACAATCGAGGCCATTACCCTGCACTTGAATTCTCAGTCTACCTGTTGGCCACACGAGGAATGTCCGCATCAATTCCCTGTTCCCCCTGGGTTGCGAGGTTCCCAATCGTCAAAACCTTCTACCACTACTGGTTATTGTCATCCGCACTCGGGATATGTCTTTGGTGTTGGCAGGAACCTGTTTGACAGGCTGCTAGATGATCAGTATAATTATCGGCGAGAAATAAATATGTATTACCCTTTTCATGATGAAGGAGAATGGGAGATGGCAAAGTTCTTGGTTGAAAACTTAACTCAAGCTCAGATTGACAAGTTTTTAAAGTTAAAATGGGTAGGAGAGACTTTGAGTGCTGCTTGACAGGCCTGACTCCATTGTTTCCAGTTTCACACTCGCCCAAAACCATCCTTCACCTCCAAGGAGCAACTTCTAGATTGGACCGATGCACTACCCTCCTTTGTGCCATGGAAAGTTTCGAACCTAGAGTTTACAGGCTACAAGACGACTTATCCCGTGCAACTTATTTGGCGCAATGCTCTAGAGGTTGTCAAACAACTTTTCAGCGATCCGGTTTTCGCCAATCACATTACCTTCCAGCCACATGTAGTCAATACAGGAAGTCAACGCGAGTATGGAGATTATATGAGTGCTGATATGGCATAGAAAATCCAGGTTAGTTTGGCCCTTTAAGTCTACTACTTGAAGTTAATTCTATATACCTAGGACTATCTGCCAGTAGGTGCTACGCAAGTACCTATCATCCTGGGATCCGATAAGACTCCTGTCACGCGGATTACTGGAGGGCTCGAGATGCACCCACTTTTCATCACCATCGGTAACATTGATTCGGAGGTTCACTCCAAGGCCACCCTGCAAGCTTGGCGCTGTATCGCTTTCAGTGATGGCTGTTTTATGCCTGATCCTTCCCAATATATTCGATACATCTTTACACCACTCATCGCCCATGTATGTGACCTTCCCGAGGCCTCCATGATTGCTGCAGTCAGCAAGAATGTCTCTCCAATCACTATGGTGACACAAGACAAATTCGGTGACGGAATTCTCTATCCTCCTTGCACTGGGAAGCACACACTACAACTTATACACGAGATCGCCAAAGAGATTGATCCTTGGGATCTCGACAAATTTCAGAAGGCAGCAAAAGCTGCCCATCTGTCTGGGGTCCACATGCCATATTGGCTTGATTGGTCGTTTTCGTGTCCATCCGTCTTTCTCCCTGGCGAAGTTTTACATACCCTTCATAAGTTTTTTGCAGATCATCCACTCAAATGGATCAAGGAGATAGTAGGAAAAACCGAGCTCGACACCCACTTCATCACTCAGCACAAATGGGTAGGGACGCACCACTTTACTAAAGGCATCACACACGTCAACCAAATGACTGGGTGTGAGCATCGTCATATTCAACGCACCATTGTTGCTTCAATCTCAGGTGCTGCTCCACCTAGATTTGTTCGCGCAATCTGCGCTCTCATAGATTTTTTCTATTATGCTCAAAATCCAGTCCATTCTCCCGAATCCTTACAGTCGATGGTGCAGGCACTCTCCGATTTTCATGCATTCAAGGATGCTATCGTCGAGGCCGAGGCGAGGAGGGGGAAGAAGGGCGCCAAAGAAGACTTTTTCATCCCCAAGCTCGAGTTACTCCAAAGCTTCAGAGGCACAATTGAGAGACTGGGTACTTTGATGCAGTTTTTAGCCGACATGACGGAGCGCTTGCTCATCACTCACTGCAAGGATCTCTTTGCCCGAACAAGTCGACGAGTGAATGATTTCACGGAGCAGTGTGTACGGATTCTCAATCGCCAGGAGTCAATGGAATTGTTCAACCTGTATGCGCTAATCACTTCCCATGGCGCATCGCTCGTCAACGCCATAAACCTTGAAGATGAGGAAGTGACGACCGTCAACCCAGCACTCTCCTGGATTTCTCATATACTCCCTGATGAAGCATATTCTGTCCATGGACCTCGATGAGTCCGTAATCATTTTCACAAGGGCATTCTTTCTGGAGATGCTCTCACTGCCTTCCATTTAACTTCAACACCAGATCTCAAGTCCCTGTCGCCTGTCGATATTCTCACCAAATACGCACTCGTTGATTTTGATCACGCAGTCTCCCAGTTCATCCAGTGTTCTTCCCTCTCCAGTGGCGAGAATACTCGCTGGGACCACAGACATGGATGCTTTTATGCGTGGAACAAATTTCGATTGCAACTTCACTCTGCCTTCCAACCTCAAGTGATCATGCCAAGCAGGGTGATCCAATCATACCCTCCCAGCGACCTATTTACCCTCGGGAACTGTGATACCGTCCTTGTCGATGTTACGAGTGATGATGGCCAAATTAGTACATATATTTTCTGCTGTCATATTCTAACCATAATTTTGTAACTACCTTTAGGTTAAGCTTGCGTTATGGTATATCAAAGGCCCTCATTTTGCGCAAATATGACATGTGGATATTTGCGCAAATATGCAGATGTCATATTTGTGTGGAACACTTGCAATCTCATCTTGCACAAATATGACATTTGGATATTTGCGCAAATATGATATGTGCATATTTGCGCAAATATGCACATGTCATATTTGTGTGGAACACTTGCAACCTCATCTTGCACAAATATGACATTTGGATATTTGCGCAAATATGATATGTGCATATTTGCGCAAATATGCACATGTCATATTTGTGTGGAACACTTGCAACCTCATCTTGCACAAATATGACATTTGGATATTTGCGCAAATATGATATGTGCATATTTGCGCAAATATGCACATGTCATATTTGTGTGGAACACTTGCAACCTCATCTTGCACAAATATGACATTTGGATATTTGCGCAAATATGATATGTGCATATTTGCGCAAATATGCACATGTCATATTTGTGTGGAACACTTGCAACCTCATCTTGCACAAATATGACATGTGCATATTTGCGCAAATATCCACATGTCATATTTGTGTGGAACACTTGCAACCTCATATTTGCGCAAATATCCACATGTCATATTTGTGTGGAACACTTGCAACCTCATATTTGCGCAAATATCCACATGTCATATTTGTGTGGAACTCTTGCAATCTCATCTTGCGCAAATATGACATGTGCATATTTGTGTGGAACTCTTGCAATCTCATCTTGCACAAATATGCACATATCATATTTGCGCAAATATGCACATGTCATATTTGTGTAGAGCACTTGTAATCTTATCTTGTGTAAATATGTACATGTTATATTTGTGTGGATTTATGTACCCTCATCTT